CATTCTATATGTACTGATGCTTCTTTGATGGATAGGTTGTAAATATGGGCTATCGGTTTGTATATTAGGTGACCAACATTAAGAAGAGCAAAAACAGGAATACTATCCGCTCCAGTAGCGGAAGACCCTTTGAGGTTAGACAGTTGTTTTAGAACATTATTTTCGTTTATAGATAAGAAATAAAATTTGTTTAACGTTTGGTCAGTGGTTTCCGAAATTACTTGAACTGGGGTTACTCCCAATACATTATCATAAAGGTCACCAGCAAGTAAAAATTGTCGACTATTTTTTGGGAATCTGAAAAACACACCCATTTCGGTTCAGCATAACAGTCAGATTATCTGTTTGAGTTGTTTTTCTATACATTTGATTGTTTCCCATAAAATCCTGGCATTGCCATGTGATTCCAGGAGCGCGGAGGAAAATTAAGCATTTTTTGCATTTCGTATTTTTTTGACGCATCTAATTTTTTTTAAATCCTGTATTCAAGCCAGTCATTTACCAAGTTACATTGATGAGCAAATTCCCAAGCCTTGTCCCTTGTTTTCATGAGCTAAGTAACGGAGCATGTTTGTTAAGAATTTTGAGAAATGTGGATCTGAAGGTCTCACAAGCCGTTGTCAGGTCGGGGATATCACAGACCTTGTCAATTTCCGAGTGAAATACATCATTTGTAAATGCCTGAAAGCTGAAGTGTCTCAGGGAGTGCTTCTCAACCAATTTAGGGGGGAAATTGGGTTTGGCTGATGATCTCACCCCAAATATGAACGAGTGATCACTAAGGTTAATACCCAAAACACCAGTCAGTGTGAAATTGTGAGGGGGCATGTCAATAGGACGTGAAGCAGAGATGAATGTCCCGGATTTTTAGGTTGGGTCTTGTTGGCACATTTATTGATTGAAACAGATTAAATTCATCTGTAAAATTTGAGACCACAGCCGGTGGATTTAACCAATTCCAATTTAGATCTCCCACTAAAACTATTTCACCTTTAGAAAGGCTCCCAAAAAGCTCTCTCAGTGCAGACTCAGCTTCTACATCCTTACCACTAGGCAGTCTATAGCAACACACTACCAATACACCCAGGACCCCATTCAAACCCACAGCGACCTGGTATCAGCTGGCGAATTAAAGTTGCAAGTGAGAATGTCATCATCGCTTGCAGCTGGGGATGTTATCGTCCCCGTCTCCTCCTGATGTTGAGCAGAAATGGGCGAGGTTTAGGACTGTGACTCATGCACCTGCAATGGCTGATTTGGGTACGCGGTCCAGACCTCCCCAGAGACCCTGGCTGACAGAGGAGGTGTTCAGGCTGGCTGAGAAAAAGCGGCAGGCCCATTCTCATCGTCTACAGCATCCCACGTCAGAGAATGAGGAGGCTTACCGCAGCCTACGCTCGGAGGTTTGGAGAGCCGTGAGGCTGAACCAATACCTCTGCCGTGGCTGACCATTGTTATCACACTGTGGGCTCGCATGATATTGTTTTTTCCGAGACCAAGGTACTCTGCAAACCTTCTGACTACCATCAAAGGTTTGTTCATGAAACCATCCAGATATATAAACATAGACATAACTTCGACCAAGAAGATGGGAACGAATTGAGCAATCACTGGACATATGTGATTAACCAGGTAAAGTCTTCTCCTGATTTATGGTTGTATCTGTAGTGGTGATACGCACTGGCAGTAGGGATCGTGTGGCAGCGCGTGGTGATTGGCTGTGTGTCGGTGACGCGCGCTGACAGTGAGGGATCATAGGGCAGCGCGGGGTCATGGGTTATGTGGTGGTGATTGGCTGTGTGTTGGTGACGCGCGCTGACAGCGAGGGATCGTGTGGCAGCGCGGGGTGATTGGTTGTGTGGTGGTAACACGTGCTGGGAAAACGGATCGTGTGGCAGCGCGTCGTGATTGGTCAACTAGAGTGGGTGCTCACATCGCGGTCCGCATAGGCTCCGTCTCTCCGGGAGCGGAGGTCTATAAAAGGTGATGCGCGCGGGCGCTCGGGGAGTTGGTGACCAGTGAAGACGGAAGACGGAGGAGGAAGAGATAGGGCCCTGAGACCCCTAGTCCCGCCGTCCTTGTAAGGGCCGGGACTCTGTGTGGCTCAGAGGCGGGACCTTGGGACCCGGGGCCGGACGTCCGTGTGAGGGCCAGGCCACGGGACCCAGTGGTCGTGACCCATACCCAAGCTGGGGTGGGTCTGTAGGTTCCCCTGAAAGCTACGGGGGCTGGAGAGCCTGTGTGTGTGTAGCCGGGTGGAACAGTGTAGCGTGAGCTGTAGTGACCACACGTGTTATTGTGGCAAGAACAGTGAGCTGTAGTGACCACACGTGTTATTGTGGCAAGAACAGTGAGCTGTAGTGACCACACGTGTTATTGTGGCAAGAACAGTGAGCTGTAGTGACCACACGTGTTATTGTGGCAAGAACAAGTGTTAATAAAGTGTGCTACCCGTCAAGTGGTCTCCCGCCGTAGTTTACTATACTACATATCTACCATATATGCCGGGTACTAGTCTATTTTTCTGAGTTAATTTCCCTCCACCCGCATCCTCACCTCTCTCGGCCTCCCACTTCCAGCCCCGCCCACTTCCCCCCCCCCCCCCCCGCAGCCTCATGTCCTCTCTCCCCCTAGCGCTCACGCAGCGCTGCCCCCCCCCTCTCTCTCTCTCTCCCTCCTTGCCCCTTCCCCCCTTCTTACCGATATAACCTCTTGCCACGGCAGTTCTCTATCCCACTTCAGCAATTTTGTCTTGCTTTGGTTTTCCCACCTGATGATGATTGCTTGTGTTATTTCGAACGACGTGACTTTACCGAAAGAACCACAGAGTATGGATTCCTGCAGTCACGAAAGCTTCAAATCAAGATTGTAGTACCATTGTTCGGCTACATGCAGGTTACCATTGGCACTTACCTGTAGTTGCGGACATGTGTCAACGGGGTGGTATACATGCCAGGTGGGATGAACACGGCAAAACTGATTCTTCCGCCGTTGCCGATCATTGCTACAACGCTGTGGGCTCTCATGAAATTGTCTTTTCCGAGACCAAGGTGCTCTGCAAGCCTCCTGGCTACCATCAAAGGTTTGTACATGAGGCCATCCAAATATACAAACACAGACATAATTTCAACCGTGATGATGGGTACAAACTTAGTAATAATTGGAAAGATGTTATTAACCATGCAAAAAAGATTTAACTACACATATTTGGAGCATTCCTGGCATCGATTTCAGCCGCACCACCTCTACATAACAAAAGGCTCAGTCAACCATTCTACACAACAAAGACTCATTTCCTGGCAGCGATTTCAGCCGCATCACCTCTACATAACTAAAGGCTCAGTCCCATTTACACGCACCTTTACATCATCCGCACTTAGTTTACACAACAAAGGCTTATTCCTAACAGCGTGCTTCAGCCGCACCGAACCTCACAAAAATAATATCCAGGGCCTACCTTGGCTCCTCCCACCCTCAACTAGTATATATACAAGGACTGTTTTCTTGGAATTTCTCTCACTTGATACAGCTATCGTGCTGTGACGGTTCCACCTGAAGACGGAAGCTTGTGTTGCCCCTGAAACGTCGCGATTTATTTATTTATTTATTATTAATAAAAAATTACCTACGTGACTTTACCGAAAAAACCTAAGAATATGAATCCTTGCAGTCACGAAAGCTTCAAATCTAGAATGAACAGGGCCGTTGGGCCACTAGGGTCCCCAGACCCCAAGAGGGGGGCTGGGGGATATTCCAGGGCCCCCTAGACAGTTCCAGAAGGGAGGTGTGGCTAGGGACGGAGAGACCCTGAAACGGGTATAAAAGCCGGACCCCTGAATGGGTTCGGCAGTTCTTGTCCGCCTGAAGACCTGAAGACTCGAAGAGTCCAGTGGGCAGAACCCGAACCCCTGGCTAGGGTCGGGTTCAGACATAACCAGGGTAGTGTTAGCGCTATTCCAAAGTGAGGGCACGTTAGTCCGGAGGGGCAATCTCCTTAGGATATCGGGTGTGAGGGGCCGTTACCCCTCTGTGTTATGTTCCCCTAGTGTTGCCTCTAGTGAACCGTCTCTCCTCGTCTTGGACCCACTACACAAGGATGGGTGGTGATCCTGGGTTGCTGAGGAAATGGAATCTGCCTCAATGGCCCGCAATCACAAATCGCTCTTTAATTCCATCAAATAAGTAACCTGCAGCACCACACATATTACCATCATCATGGGTAGTAGTTCTGAGTCTATGGGTGACAGTTCTGAGTCGATGGGTAGCAGTGCTGAGTTTATGGGTAGCAGTGCTGAGTCTATGGGTGACAGTGCTGAGTCTATGGGTGACAGTGCTGAGTCTGTGGGTGACAGTGCTGAGTCTGTGGGTGACAGTGCTGAGTCTGTGGGTGACAGTGCTGAGTCTATGGGTGACAGTGCTGAGTCTATGGGTGGCAGTGCTGAGTCTATGGGTGGCAGTGCTGAGTCTGTGGGTGACAGTGCTGAGTCTGTGGGTGACAGTGCTGAGTCTGTGGGTGACAGTGCTGAGTCTGTGGGTGACAGTGCTGAGTCTGTGGGTGGCAGTGCTGAGTCTATGGGTGACAGTGCTGAGTCTGTGGGTGGCAGTGCTGAGTCTGTGGGGTGCCACACGCCTCACCTGAGACAAGGTGTGGAGCCAGTTGTTGACCTCGTCGCGTATCCGTCTGGCGTCGGCGTCGCTGATGTTCACGTGCAGGGGAATGTTCGGGCAGGGGACGCGAGCCAACACCTCCGGCACGTTCAGCTCCTCGCTCAGGAGGTCCTTGCCGGCCCAGGTGTACCCGCTGTGAGCGCAGGCCACGTAGTCTCCCGTGAGCAGCGCGACGCTCACCCAAACTATGGGGGCGATCAGCGCCTTGAACAACATCGGCCAAAACCAGTGGCGGGTGCAGCGGCAACTCCTGCCGGTTGCTCCTCCTGATGCAGGAGCTGCAGCAGGAGGAGCTGCAGCACGTGCTGCTGCTTCTGCTGCATCAGCACGTGCTACTGCATCATCAGCACGTTTAGCTGCTGCAGTAGCACGTGATTCTGTAATAGCAGCTTTTTCAGCATCAGCTTTTGCAGCAGCAGCTTTTGCAGAAGTTGTTTCTGCAGCACGTGCTGCTGCAACAACTGCTGCAGCATGAGTTTCTGCATCAGCTGTAGAATCAGCTGCTTTAGCAGCTGCTGCAGCATCAGCTTTTGCAGCATCAACTTTTTCAGCATCAGCTTTTGCAGCACGTGCAGCATCAGAAGCAGTTGTTTCTGCAGCACGTGCAGCATCAAAAGCTGATGCAGCACGTCCTGCAGCAACAACTGCTGCAGCACGTGCTGCTGCAACAACTGCTGCAGCATCAGCTGCTGCAGCATCAGCTTCTGCATCAGCTTCTGCAGCAGCTGCTGCATCAGCTGCTTTAGCAGCTGATGCAGCATCAGCTTTTGCAGCATCAACTTTTTTAGCATCAGCTTTTGCAGCAGCAGCTTTTGCAGCAGCAGCACGTGCTGCAACAGCAGCATGTGCTGCTGCAACAGCAGCACGTGTTGCAGCAGCACGTGATGCAGCAGCAGCTATAGCATCAGCTTCTGCAGCACGAACATTACGTGCCTCTACAGCAGCTGCTGCAGCAGCAGCTGCTGCAGCTTCAGCTTCAACAGCATCGGCTTCAGCAGAACGTGCTGCTGCCGCTGCTCTGCTGCACCTCTGTTTGAGGGCAGCAACTCCTCCGGGGCAGCAGGCGGTCACCGCCTTCCAGGTATCGGGTTGCAGCAGGAACCCGACGCAGAGGAGAACGGCGGCCGGGACGAGGAAGACCACCGCGACGATGTAGACGTTGAGGTCGTGGACGCAGGGGCACCGGAACACGTAGTTGGTGAACACCTCCTGGCCCACGACCACGAGGGCCGCGGCGAGGCCGTTCCACACCGCGAGCTTCCACACCTTCAGCAGGGTGAAAGCGGCGTGCAGAGACTCAGCCATGGGCATGGTGTCACCGGCCTCGCTGGAGCTGTGGGGTCTCTCTCTGTCTGTATCTCTGTTTCTGTCTGTCTCTGTCTGTCTGTCTCTGGCTCTGTCTGTCTCCTGGTCTCTCTCTCAGTCTCCTGGTCTCTCGATCTCTCTCTGTCTGTCTCCCGCTGGCTCTCTGCCAAGGTGGTAACGGGGGAGCCCTGTTAATGGAGTTCGGTTCTCAGGAATGCGTAAACTTGCACGGTGGACGTGGCCATGCGGGCAGGAGTTTTTCACTTCTCATTTCACAATCTGAGCAGATAATCATCCTGTTATATTTGCACCTGTGTCTGTGCCTGTGTGTGTCTATACCTGTGTGTGTCTGTACCTCTGTGTGTGTGTCTGTGTGTGTGTCTGTGCGCAAGAAGCTTCAGGTCTTCTCAGGCCACTGTCATTCCCCCCCTCCCTTCTCTACACTTGCGAAACGTGGACCCCTCTAATGGAGGATCTTTGCCGGTTAGAAACATTTATGCTGGCCTGCCTACGATCCATCCTGGGTTAAACCAGGCTAGATTGTGTGAGCTCACAAATCCTTGAAAGATCTGGGCAAAGTCCCATCGGTGAGCTCCTCCGGCAGGCAAGGCTGCGTTGGCTGGGTCATGTAGCCCGCATGCCCAGCCACCGCATGCCCAAACAGCTTTTGTTCAGTCGGATCGAGGGGGCTAAACAGGCGCGGCACGGGCTAGAGAAGAGATGGAGTGATGTGGTACAGGAGGACGTGGAGCTGAGTGGACTTGCCGATGACTGGTACCAGCGGTGCCAAGATCGGCCTCAGTGGAGGAAGCTCGTGACGGACGCTACTGGGCAGTTGGAGACAGTCGCCCTCCAACAACAACGGAGGGCGGAGGAGCGACGCTCACAACAACGAGCGGAGTGCCGGGTGGCTAAAGCACAGCAAGTTGGTACAGTAGGGGGCACAGGTGGTGCATCAGCCAGTCATCTCGGTCATCTCAGTCAGTCTACCCGTGGCACCTGGGTCTGCCCCGTGACCTCCTGCCAGCGGGCGTTAGACACTTCACGTGGCCTCAAGGTGCACATGGCCTGGCACAAGCGTCGTGGTGACGTCACCGACACTTAGTGGCGAATGGCGATTGTTGTTATTTGAGTCCATGTGCATGTCTGCGACGATTTGTGTGTATGTACGTCCTTGTGGGTATGTGTATATAAGTCGATGTGTGTGTGTGCGAGTCGATGTGTGTGTGCGTGAGTCTGTGTGTGTCAGTCGATGTGTGTGTTAAGTGTTAATAAATGTGTGTGCATGCTGTGTATGTAGACCACTAATATTTCACAATTAGGTTGGTAATTTTTACAATAATATTGTATGTGTCGAAGTCCATGTGTGCGTGTGAGTCCATGTACGTGTCTGCGTCGATGTGTATGTGTGAGTCGATGTCTTTATGTATGTGGGTCAATGTCTGTAAGTCTGTGTAAGTAGATGTGTGTCTGTCTTTTTTGCCCGGGCAATGCCGGGTACTTCCCACTAGTCTAACCTATAAAAGGCATTTTTTGTCTGTCTATCTGTGTGTCTGTCTGTGTGTGGACAAAACTTGCGAAGGATTTGACTAGCGATTCGTGGGGTTGATGTTTAACAAGTACCTGATGACGATTGTTTGTGTTGCGATCGAAACGTCGTGATATTTGTATTATTATTTTTCTATCTACGTGGCTTTACCGAAAGACCCAAGAATATGAATTCCTGCTTTAAGTCAAGATTTATGCGGAGAATCTTTGTGTCCTGGCAGTTGCGCGTGTGTGCGGATGCGGGCGCTTGTGTGTGTGCGTGTCTGTGTGTGTGTCTGTGTGTGTGCGGGCGCCAATGCATGTACGGCCGAGAGGGTGAAGTTGGAGTGTGCGGGCGGAGGAAGATAAGAAACCAAACAAAACAAGCAGTTCGCAGGAAATTAGTTTTCAATTCAGTGTAGTAGCGTAGTGTATATCGTAGTGTAAAGTAGTGGTGCATAGTAGTGTAGTGGTGAGTGTAGTGTGTAGTAGTGAGTGTAGTGTATAGTAGTGTAGTGGTGAGTGTAGTGCATAGTAGTGTAGTGGTGAGTGTAGTGTATAGTAGTGTAGTTTATAGTAGTGTAGTGGTGAGTGTAGTGCATAGTAGTGTAGTGGGCCCAAACGGACACTCAGACGTACATATCATTATCAGAGTTGTTTTCTTTGCATTTTGATTGCTTGTGTTGTGGTTTTGCTAACAGATAAAAGGGCAAAAACCTATTACTGGCAGTACACCGTCGCAGCGTCATAAACCCACAGCTAAAAAGGAAAATATTTAGCAACCAAATAATAAAATATTAGTTTTCTGCACACAAACATTATTATTTTTTTAATTGCTAAATTATTTGTTTATAATAGTAAAGAATAAACCTGAGTTCTTAGAGAAATATTAAATCAAATTGTACTTTACATTGCCGTGGTGAGGCCTAGTCCCGTGCAGAGCCCGTGGCCTCGCCTAGATTGCCAAGCCGGAGGAGGTGACACATTGCCTGGCTGGGGACTGGGCCGCTCTCCCCACCCGCGCTGCAACAATGCCATCTAAGCGCTCTAATATTAATATCTATGGACTTTATAGCAATAACTGCACGCATTGGGGTGGGGGGAACATATGACTTTGAAGAATGAACCTCAGTGTTGTGTGTATATTTTTAAGCATTGTTAACGCGAATGAGATTTTTTAGCGATCGTGTGTGCGTTGCTCGGGGCGCAATAGCGCGCTTTGTCCCGCGGCGGGCGGCAAAGCTACATATATAAATAACGAAATATTTGGGATTATAGGTATGCCAGGGATAAAGACGTCCTCACCTTTAGAATTGCCTGTAATGATTGTAGCTTTGATAACATTACAATGTAATTCTTTCACAATTAACCTTGTGCCATTGCATAGTCTAGGTGGGTCCAAGTTTCTCAATAGCAAGACAGGTGCCCCAATTTTTAGTAGCAAGTTGTGTGGTGGTACACCCGGGAGCTGCAGAGAATTCAAGAATTCAACTGGATAGTGAATAATTTGATCACGGTCCAACACTGTGTCAATAGATTTGTAGGACTTGCTCTCTCCAGATAATTTCTGCAACAACATGGAATTTATTCTGTGAACGGCATAATTTTTCGGAGCCAAAATGGCCCTCTCCTCTAGCCAGACAACATCTTGAAAGTGTTGTTGCATGTTTGGGTACACTTTTTCTTCCAGTTCCTCTTCCGAAGTGGAAAGGATGCCTTTAGACATGGTGATAAGTCCATCTGTGCCATCAGCAAGAATTCTGCCATTTCCAATATCAAGGAGAGCTTCAGCAAAGTTTCCTGCCTCTTGGTCTCCATGGAGATATACACGCATGTTTGTAGTTAGTCTCAGTTTCATTACGTGCCTCCAGAGGAATGAAGACTTGATGCAGGCATTTAACTCATCAGCTTTGGTCCCTCGAAGTACCACAGGTAAGGTTTGTCGGAAGTCACCAGCCATGAGAAAAGTTACACCACCCATAATCCTGGAATTGTTGCGGAGGTCCTGCAAAGTTGTGTTGACAGCCTCAAATGCTCCCTTGTGGGACATGGTGCATTCATCCCACACTATTAATTCACAATTAACCAGGACTTGTGCAAGGGCAGTCCCCTTTGAAATATTGCAAACGGGGTTTTCTTGTCGGGATAGATCTAATGGAAGCTTGAATGTGGAATGGGCAGTTCTTCCTCCAATAAGCAGAGTCGATGCAATCCCTGACGATGCCACAAATTGGGGTGGGGGGGGGGTGAAGAGGACGTTAAACTTTGAAGAATTTACCTCAGCGTCGCGTGTTAATGCGTGTGCGTATTTTTTACGGGAATTAAAAATGGCGTCCACCCCGCAGCGACGGCTTGCTTTGCCCGTTGCCAGGGGCAACCACCCTCGGTCGGCGTCTCACGCATGCGCAACGGTGTGCTGCATCACGTGCCGGCCGGCAATAGTAAATAAATAAATAAAGAGAAAATCGCACTAAATCGATAATTAAACTGCTTTAAAGACGACGGACGAAAAAACGGAAATGCCTATTCCCACCACGGGGCACGGGACGTGCCTCCCGGCAAATTTTTTTTATCCTAAACCCCACGGCCCGAGCGCCAAATCCCTCGCAAGCGAGCATACACAGACGAACAGACAGGCGGACAGACAAAAAGTTACTTTTATAGGTAAGAAAAAAGATGCACGACTTTATCTATCTGTGACAAATGCTGCACTTTCCGTTGTTGCAGGGGGCACTGTAAACCTACGCGCCCCCTGCATGAACGACGGAGATGCAGGGACAGACGTTCGATCACGTTGGAATCGATCTGCACGGCCAGTTGTGTCGCCTTATCTCGATTCCACGATCCCAACCAGGTAAAAGTCCGCATCGAACCAAATCCCCAGCAAGGCCATCTACTTAACGACTAAATGTCGTTTTCAAATAAGTCTTCCAGATGTACAATGATATAAGCTTTTAAAGAAGAAATACAATTATCTAATTCAAAAGGTAATACAATTCAAAGTTGTTTCATTTTAAAACTTCAAAACGGAGCATCGCGAGCTTGCGTGGATGCGTCGTTCGTGCGCAATTTTTTTCGTGACTTTCCTGGCCCAAGGCCATAAATGGTTGTGAGGGGCACCGCAGGCGGTCAGGCTTGCTTCAACCCATGGTTGTGAACATCTAGACGTTAATCGGCATGGAACATTTCTTGTCCTAGTTCGCCAACATATAAGACGTCATGCAAAATTCGAATGAGTGTTGTTGTGGAGAATGTATCTACTAGATGTGCTCTGCCTTGTAACCGAATACAAATCTGTACCAAAAATGCATTTCAAATGTGCTCTTAAAATTACCTCCTTGCTATGAAGCAGATCAGCAGACACGACATCTTTAACTTATCGATTTCTCCATGAAACAAAGGAATGTTTTACACAAACTATAACTAGCACAGCCTTCTGGGAGTGTGTCATTGATTCAGTGCAAGCCACCTGTGGACCCGTATTGGTGCACAGCGTCTCAAGAGCAGCCGGGCTTGTTTCAACCGATGGTTATGAACATCCAGTCGTTAATCAGCAAGGGGCAATTCTAGTCCAAGTTAGACAAAATCTACGTCAACACGTAAGACAAAATTATAAATCGTGTTGTAGAGAATGTATCTCCTCTTCTTGGTTCTTTCGGTAAAGTCATGAAGAATGGAAATAATAAAATAATAAAATAAAACAGAATAAAATAATTCTCACGACGTTTCGGCCACAACGCAAGCAGCCGTCCTCAGGTGAAGAACAATGTACAAGGTGATATATAGTATCGTAATTGTATAGTATGTAGCTGCAGAAGATGAATCCCTGCAGTCACGAAAGCTTTAAATCGAAATGTATCTCCTCTACGTGTAACTTTTAAGTGGTATGCCTTGTAACTGATGAATGATCCGAGTGTGCTCCCTATTTCAAAGACAATGAGTTACTCCAGAGGCAGACGCTTCCTGAAAACACAAAAATATCCTTTGACCTGTATCACAAGAACAACGGGTCTCACCCGAGTTATCTGTACACGTTAATCCAATAACACACTTTGTCCTAACATTACTTATTAAATGTTTGACCCTTATAAACTGTCTCGGCCTCGCTGTGTGCTGCGTTGCACCGCTCGCTGAGTAGATAACCTCGCGTCCAATAAACCCTCAGAGCCAGGGTGAACATCCGACTTCAAACGTCACTTATTGATTTTAACGAGGTAAAACTGGTGATAAAACAGCACAGATACAGCATCTGTTATAACCCGGAAACACCAACACAATGAATGAACACCACAGCATCAGAACATTGTCTTAGATAACATGTTTCTCAACAATAGAACCTGGATGGACCAGGCCCCTACATTACCACTGAATAACTATACAAGAGCATAAGCTGCTGTGTTACATAAAGACACATCGTGTATTCATCACACTGCACCCCAAATGTACAGTATTACACAACACTAAATGTGGATGAGATATTTCATCATCCTTGCTCTCAGGATCGCAATATAGTTACTTGGGTACAAGTTTGACTCGACTTATTAAATTACATGTAACATTCACAATAAGGAAAGTTGCAGGCTCCGTTGTTAACTAGGCCTCGTATTTACCATAACAATTTAACAGCATTATAAAGGCATTTACATCATTATAACGGCCATTCTAACATTATAACAGCATTGCCAATATTATAAGAACATAAACGAACCTACAATGCTTCTTAAGCTCCCACAATGGATAATCGCGGCTGGCTTCACTGGGACGTGATGTGTGCCGCCATCTTGAATTATGTGTGTAATGGCCGACGCCCGCGTGGTTGAGTGGGAATCTTAAATCGCAACTTCCTGGTCACGTGACCAAAATTTTCATTAAAAACATGAAATTCCTGTGTACATACGCGCCCCCCCCCCATCTGCCGTGAGGCAAAGCCCCTGCCGTGAGGCAGAACATAAACAAAATGTTACATGTACGCACACAATAAGACAGGTATTCATTCAAAATTATTGAGTCATTTAAATAAAATTTAATTACTGCACTGAAAAATGCTGCCGGAGGAGGTGACACATTGCCTGGCTGGGGGCTGGGCCGCTCTCCCCACCCGCGCTGCAACAATGCCATCTAAGCGCTCTAATATTAATATCTATGGACTTTATAGCAATAACTGCACGCATTGGGGTGGGGGGAACATATGACTTTGAAGAATGAACCTCAGTGTTGTGTGTATATTTTTAAGCATTGTTAACGCGAATGAGATTTTTTAGCGATCGTGTGTGCGTTGCTCGGGGCGCAATAGCGCGCTTTGTCCCGCGGCGGGCGGCAAAGCTACATATATAAATAACGAAATATTTGGGATTATAGGTATGCCAGGGATAAAGACGTCCTCACCTTTAGAATTGCCTGTAATGATTGTAGCTTTGATAACATTACAATGTAATTCTTTCACAATTAACCTTGTGCCATTGCATAGTCTAGGTGGGTCCAAGTTTCTCAATAGCAAGACAGGTGCCCCAATTTTTAGTAGCAAGTTGTGTGGTGGTACACCCGGGAGCTGCAGAGAATTCAAGAATTCAACTGGATAGTGAATAATTTGATCACGGTCCAACACTGTGTCAATAGATTTGTAGGACTTGCTCTCTCCAGATAATTTCTGCAACAACATGGAATTTATTCTGTGAACGGCATAATTTTTCGGAGCCAAAATGGCCCTCTCCTCTAGCCAGACAACATCTTGAAAGTGTTGTTGCATGTTTGGGTACACTTTTTCTTCCAGTTCCTCTTCCGAAGTGGAAAGGATGCCTTTAGACATGGTGATAAGTCCATCTGTGCCATCAGCAAGAATTCTGCCATTTCCAATATCAAGGAGAGCTTCAGCAAAGTTTCCTGCCTCTTGGTCTCCATGGAGATATACACGCATGTTTGTAGTTAGTCTCAGTTTCATTACGTGCCTCCAGAGGAATGAAGACTTGATGCAGGCATTTAACTCATCAGCTTTGGTCCCTCGAAGTACCACAGGTAAGGTTTGTCGGAAGTCACCAGCCATGAGAAAAGTTACACCACCCATAATCCTGGAATTGTTGCGGAGGTCCTGCAAAGTTGTGTTGACAGCCTCAAATGCTCCCTTGTGGGACATGGTGCATTCATCCCACACTATTAATTCACAATTAACCAGGACTTGTGCAAGGGCAGTCCCCTTTGAAATATTGCAAACGGGGTTTTCTTGTCGGGATAGATCTAATGGAAGCTTGAATGTGGAATGGGCAGTTCTTCCTCCAATAAGCAGAGTCGATGCAATCCCTGACGATGCCACAAATTGGGGTGGGGGGGGGGGTGAAGAGGACGTTAAACTTTGAAGAATTTACCTCAGCGTCGCGTGTTAATGCGTGTGCGTATTTTTTACGGGAATTAAAAATGGCGTCCACCCCGCAGCGACGGCTTGCTTTGCCCGTTGCCAGGGGCAACCACCCTCGGTCGGCGTCTCACGCATGCGCAACGGTGTGCTGCATCACGTGCCGGCCGGCAATAGTAAATAAATAAATAAAGAGAAAATCGCACTAAATCGATAATTAAACTGCTTTAAAGACGACGGACGAAAAAACGGAAATGCCTATTCCCACCACGGGGCACGGGACGTGCCTCCCGGCAAATTTTTTTTATCCTAAACCCCACGGCCCGAGCGCCAAATCCCTCGCAAGCGAGCATACACAGACGAACAGACAGGCGGACAGACAAAAAGTTACTTTTATAGGTAAGAAAAAAGATGCACGACTTTATCTATCTGTGACAAATGCTGCACTTTCCGTTGTTGCAGGGGGCACTGTAAACCTACGCGCCCCCTGCATGAACGACGGAGATGCAGGGACAGACGTTCGATCACGTTGGAATCGATCTGCACGGCCAGTTGTGTCGCCTTATCTCGATTCCACGATCCCAACCAGGTAAAAGTCCGCATCGAACCAAATCCCCAGCAAGGCCATCTACTTAACGACTAAATGTCGTTTTCAAATAAGTCTTCCAGATGTACAATGATATAAGCTTTTAAAGAAGAAATACAATTATCTAATTCAAAAGGTAATACAATTCAAAGTTGTTTCATTTTAAAACTTCAAAACGGAGCATCGCGAGCTTGCGTGGATGCGTCGTTCGTGCGCAATTTTTTTCGTGACTTTCCTGGCCCAAGGCCATAAATGGTTGTGAGGGGCACCGCAGGCGGTCAGGCTTGCTTCAACCCATGGTTGTGAACATCTAGACGTTAATCGGCATGGAACATTTCTTGTCCTAGTTCGCCAACATATAAGACGTCATGCAAAATTCGAATGAGTGTTGTTGTGGAGAATGTATCTACTAGATGTGCTCTGCCTTGTAACCGAATACAAATCTGTACCAAAAATGCATTTCAAATGTGCTCTTAAAATTACCTCCTTGCTATGAAGCAGATCAGCAGACACGACATCTTTAACTTATCGATTTCTCCATGAAACAAAGGAATGTTTTACACAAACTATAACTAGCACAGCCTTCTGGGAGTGTGTCATTGATTCAGTGCAAGCCACCTGTGGACCCGTATTGGTGCACAGCGTCTCAAGAGCAGCCGGGCTTGTTTCAACCGATGGTTATGAACATCCAGTCGTTAATCAGCAAGGGGCAATTCTAGTCCAAGTTAGACAAAATCTACGTCAACACGTAAGACAAAATTATAAATCGTGTTGTAGAGAATGTATCTCCTCTTCTTGGTTCTTTCGGTAAAGTCATGAAGAATGGAAATAATAAAATAAAACAGAATAAAATAATTCTCACGACGTTTCGGCCACAACGCAAGCAGCCGTCCTCAGGTGAAGAACAATGTACAAGGTGATATATAGTATCGTAATTGTATAGTATGTAGCTGCAGAAGATGAATCCCTGCAGTCACGAAAGCTTTAAATCGAAATGTATCTCCTCTACGTGTAACTTTTAAGTGGTATGCCTTGTAACTGATGAATGATCCGAGTGTGCTCCCTATTTCAAAGACAATGAGTTATTCCAGAGGCAGACGCTTCCTGAAAACACAAAAATATCCTTTGACCTGTATCACAAGAACAACGGGTCTCACCCGAGTTATCTGTACACGTTAATCCAATAACACACTTTGTCCTAACATTACTTATTAAATGTTTGACCCTTATAAACTGTCTCGGCCTCGCTGTGTGCTGCGTTGCACCGCTCGCTGAGTAGATAACCTCGCGTCCAATAAACCCTCAGAGCCAGGGTGAACATCCGACTTCAAACGTCACTTATTGATTTTAACGAGGTAAAACTGGTGATAAAACAGCACAGATACAGCATCTGTTATAACCCGGAAACACCAACACAATGAATGAACACCACAGCATCAGAACATTGTCTTAGATAACATGTTTCTCAACAATAGAACCTGGATGGACCAGGCCCCTACATTACCACTGAATAACTATACAAGAGCATAAGCTGCTGTGTTACATAAAGACACATCGTGTATTCATCACACTGCACCCCAAATGTACAGTATTACACAACACTAAATGTGGATGAGATATTTCATCATCCTTGCTCTCAGGATCGCAATATAGTTACTTGGGTACAAGTTTGACTCGACTTATTAAATTACATGTAACATTCACAATAAGGAAAGTTGCAGGCTCCGTTGTTAACTAGGCCTCGTATTTACCATAACAATTTAACAGCATTATAAAGGCATTTACATCATTATAACGGCCATTCTAACATTATAACAGCATTGCCAATATTATAAGAACATAAACGAACCTACAATGCTTCTTAAGCTCCCACAATGGATAATCGCGGCTGGCTTCACTGGGACGTGATGTGTGCCGCCATCTTGAATTATGTGTGTAATGGCCGACGCCCGCGTGGTTGAGTGGGAATCTTAAATCGCAACTTCCTGGTCACGTGACCAAAATTTTCATTAAAAACATGAAATTCCTGTGTACATACGCGCCCCCCCCCCCCCCATCTGCCGTGAGGCAAAGCCCCTGCCGTGAGGCAGAACATAAACAAAATGTTACATGTACGCACACAATAAGACAGGTATTCATTCAAAATTATTGAGTCATTTAAATAAAATTTAATTACTGCACTGAAAAATGCTGCACCAGGTTACATTGTATTAACAAGCTATTTCAAAAAATATTCACCGTCTGCTTAACAGTGTATGTACAACATACTTTTGCGCCATTCAAAACGAGGCCTTTGCATGCTGGTGTCTGGGTCAAAATTGAGCAAATTCCAAACATTACAAACTCCACAACTGAGATGCCACATCAACCATCGCCCTCTACTGACAGGCTCTTGTCCACATGCAGGCCGGTAAAGGGCCACCACCTTGTGCCACATAGGGGCAGCTGCTACCTGGGGATGCTATTCGAGTGTTTGAGACGAGATACGATACAAAAATCCGAATTGCCGAGGCGAATAAGCAAGCACCATATAAATGCAATTAATAACATAGCGAATGCTTGGGAGCTTATTGGCTCCCGCTCCTGGTTAGAGATCTACCAAACCCACAGGTCCACAAAGACTGGCCGCTCTTACTCTGCAGGTTGAACCTAGGAATTGAGTGTTCAACTTCACATTCTTGTCATTAAAGGCCTGTGACAAAAGTGCATAACTTAGAGCGACATCGTCTCAAGCTTATACATCTACCGGGTCTCCATTTGACTTTGTATTGTCTCGGAGGAAGTCCACCCACACCTCCACTTCCACAAACTGCTGGGAGTTGCCTCGCTCTGCCTCACAGTCAGAATTCTCCTCCTGCTTCACGTTGCCTCCATCGATGTGAAGGTCCGATTTTGGAGTTGACTCTTCATCTTCACATTTTACCTTCACTTCTTCGCTCTTCACCATCACTTCTTCACATTTCACCTTCACTTCTTCGCTCTTCACCATCACTTCTTCACATTTCACATTCACCTCTTCATATTTCACCTCGATACCTTTAAAAGTGTCCAAGCTGGGATTTTCTTCCGGTTCTTGTTTGATGAGGGATGGGCTCATTGCGGCACTTTGACTTTCACAAGCTGATTTCAGACTCCACTCCTTGTGGATCTTCTGATGCTTGTGTGTTCTCTGGTGTCTTTGAAGAGCAGATGACTGTGCAAACGCCTTCACACACACACTGCACTTGAAGGGTTTCTCTCCCGTGTGTGTTCTCTGGTGTGCTACAAGAGTAGATGAATCTGAAAACGCCTTCCCACACACACTGCACTTGAAGGGTTTCTCTCCCGTGTGTGTTCTTTGGTGTACTTGAAGATTTTGTTTAAGTGCAAACATCGTCCCGCACAAAGTGCACTTGAAGGGGTTCTCTCCTGTGTGTGTTCTCTGGTGTAGTACAAGAGCAGATGAATGTGCATACGCCTTCCCACACACACTGCAGATGAAGGGTTTCTTTCCCGTGTGTGTTCTCTGGTGTATTACAAGAGTAGATGACTGTGCAAACGCCTTCCCACACACACTGCACTTGAAGGGTTTCTTTCCCGTGTGTGTTCTCTGGTGTGCTATAAGAGTAGATGACTGTGCAAACGCCTTCCCACACACTCGGCACTTGAATGGTTTCTCTCCCGTGTGCATTCTCTGGTGTTGTACAAGAGTAGATGAATGTGCAAACGCCTTCCCACACACACTGCACTTGAAGGGTTTCTCTCCTGTGTGAGTTCTCTGGTGCCGTGTCAAATTTCCAGCATAATCCGTGCTGTATGCACACCGGTCGCATTGTTGCCTTGTCGTACCGAGCTTCGCCGAGTGCCTTTGCTCCATCAGACAAATTCGACAGAGGAAGCGACAGCTGCGGACAGAAAAAAAGTTATATCCACGTTAGTATCGATGCACAGAGGAATGCATATTTACACAGTAACACATGACTTATAAGTCGACACTTATTCATATATTCATGATATAGTGAAAAAGATTCCCAAATTCATCACACGGGCTGTTATGGCACACAAAGAGAGAGCAAATGGTTATAACCGTGCCTGGAAGCCCTCGTATCTTCAAAATTAATGTTAACCCAAGACTCAGAGCACACAATTTCAGCTGTCTGGCTTCAAAAGGAATATTTATGAAAGCTAAATTCAGCTGACATAGCAAAGGGTGTTGAAAATAATAAAAATTTTGTTCTGCAGAAATGCATAAATTAATGTTCAATCGCAACTTAGAGGTGTGAAGCCAGGCACAGATGTCCTTGAATGCTGGGATGAACAGTTCCGACTTCAGCTGCACCGTGTGCTGTGTTAACTTCCTGACTCCATTCTTACAAAGAGTTCCAGAGGAAAAAAAAAACAACTACTGTTTTGGAAAAACCTCCGTGCTCAATAGAGTTAATAGACTTTACTGCAACTATAAACTTGACACTGTCACACACTCAAGAGGCGGAGCCAGGATTTTCAGGTAGGGGGGGAAACCCCTCCAACAATGAAAAATAATAGGAGTTGTTATTAAGTAAGGAGTTGTTAGTAAGGAGTTGTTAGTAAGAACTTGTCCCTTGCTTTTTATTTGACACGTGTGATCGGCATCGTGCTCGCTGAAGTTGTTGATGCCTTCAGGGAAGTCGTGTACTGTAGACGCAACTGCGCACAATTCTGTGAGTCGCTTGTAACTGCTTTGCCGTTTCTTATTGCCAATTATGGACTTGGACTGTTGTCCTCTCAGAGTCCCTGGCACGTAATAACATGTCACACGGTGGCGGTGGGGGTCGCAAAATGCTGATTTATCTATATATATAAAAGGGAAATCTGTGAATGTCTGTTCGAAAACATGAAACAAACTTGAAATTAGGCATGTGGGTAGCTTCCAGACTGTACACAATGCGAAAAGTATAAAAATAGACTTTTGTATTTTGGGGGGGGGGGGGGTGGGGCGCAATAATGCATTTATTTTGCACGCAAGTGAGCGGTGACGTCATATCTGTGATGTCACACCCGCATGCGGAAGCATTACACAGCGTGCTTGCTGACATCACCCCCACCCCCCCCAAACACTCCGCGTAGGACGTGTTTTAATCCAAGACAAGAATCCAAGTCCCGGGCAAAGCCGGGTAGTGAAGCTAGTTACTAATAAACCCCAATGATCCCATCGAAATTAGGGATTTCGATCGGATCGTTGGGGGGGCACGTGCCACCCCACCCCCACTGGCTCCACCACTGTCACGCACTGGCACGGTTCACAGGTGGTGGTGTGTCCAGACCCACGCCTGGCTACCTTCACCTGCTCAGTATTAATGCTTCCTCACTCCACCAAGTAATTCATTGAGGATCAACCAACACAGCCGAGGCTGCGTGTCTCTCTCTCTCTCTCCCAGTGGTCGCGTTGATTTCCTTCCCGATCCCCGGGTTTCCCCTCCACATGTCTTGAGTGAACACCGCCACGCGTCTAGAGTGAACACCGCCACGCGTCTAGAGTGAACACCGCCACACGTCTAGAGTGAACGCCACGCGTCTAGAGTGAACAACGCCACGCGTCTGGAGTGAACACCGCCACGAGTCTAGAGTGAACACCGCCACGCGTCTAGTGAACACCGCCACGCGTCCAGAGTGAACACCACCACGCGTCCAGAGTGAACACCGCCACGCGTCCAGAGTGAACACCACCACGCGTCTAGAGTGAACACCGCCACGCGTCCAGAGTGAACACCGCCACGCGTCTAGAGTGAACATCGCCACGCGTCCAGAGTGAACACCACCACGCGTCCAGAGTGAACACCGCCACGCGTCTATAGTGAACAACGCCACGCGTCTAGAGTGAACACCGCCACGCGTCCAGAGTGAACACCGCCACGCGTCCAGAGTGAACACCGCCACGCGTCCAGAGTGAACACCGCCACGCATCCAGAGTGAACACCGCCACGCGTCTAGAGTGAACACCGCCACGCGTCTAGAGTGAACACCGTCACGCGTCTAGAGTGAACACAGCCACACGCTATTGACAAGCCCCACCTTGTTATTATTGTGGTTGTGGGCAGGTCTTTTCTGAAAACAAGAGCGGTATAGCAGCTCAAGCGGGCGTGGCCTGGTAAAAAATGAAAAAAAAAACTCTGAATATTTAAAACAAAACAAAGTTACAAGGTAGCGAGCCAGGTGAAGAGAAATTAAAACTTAAGCAAGATACTCTTTGGTTCTTTCGGGAAAGTCATGTAGAATAAATAAATAAATAAATTTGACAATAGCATGCGACGTTTCGATTGCAACACAAGCAATCATCAGGTACAAATGAAAGAGAAAACAAACCTAGTCAACTTAGAAATTCTATATTTGAAGCTTTCGTGACTGCAAGGATTCAAATTCTTAGGTTTTTTCTGGTAAAGTCACGTCGGTAAAAAATTAATAAAAGTAAAATAAAAATAAAATAAAAATCACGACGTTTTGGAGGCAACACAAGCCTCCGTCTTCAGGTGGAACCGTCACAGCACGATTGCTGCATCAAGTAAGATGCAGCAATCATCAAGTAAGAAGCAGCAATCATCAAGTAAGATGCAGCAATCATCAAGTAAGATGCAGCAATCATCAAGTAAGATGCAGCAATCATCAAATAAGATGCAGAAATCATCAAGTAAGATGCAGCAATCGTGCTGTGACGGTTCCACCTGAAGACGGAAGCTTGTGTTGCCTCCAAAACGTCGTGATTTTTATTTTATTTTTATTTTACTTTTATTAATTTGAATTTTTTACCTACGTGACTTTACCAAAAAACCTAAGAATATGAAACTTAGAAATGTAATGCAATACAACACAGAGAGTCGGCTAACATAACAGTCAACACCCCACCTGGTTGATCACGTTCTTCCAAAGATTGCTCAATTTGAGAGAGAGACAAAACACAGACACGGAGACACACAGACAGACACATAAGCAGAGAGAGATGACACAAAGACACACAGAGAGAGACACACACATAGACATAGAGAGAGAGATGACAGAGAGACACACAGAGAGAGACACACACATAGACACATGACACAGACACACGGAGACACACACATAGACACAGACACACACACATAGACACACATAGACACAGAGACACACACACATAGACACACAGAGAGACAACGCCTCTGTGTCAAAGTCAACATTGGGGGGGACCAAATCTTCCGGGGGGTCTGGGGTCCCCCCCCCCCCAGAAAAATATCTAAATTTGAAAACTAATTTCCTGCCATTTCCTCCCTAAAATATTTGTAAAAGTTCACTAACACATGGGATGGAATTTTTTTTATTTGATACAATGTCTAATAGTGTATTGTATTACATTGCTGTTTTTTCTTTTTTACCTTTTCTTGTTTCATAGTATGTAATGGCAGAGATTAGGGATTCATAAAGTACAACGCAATCATATAAACAGAAATCTATGCATTGTTATATGAAGACAAGTCCAGATTTTGTGGCAAAGGTTTAGCAAATTGTTGTTTTTATTAACAGAGCATCGCAATTATTATTTACAAATATTTTTACAGCAATATATTGGAGGGGCATATTTGATTATTATAATTATTATAACATATTACACTTATTATAACATTATAATTAATATATATTATTATAACTATTACAACATATTATACTTATTATAACATTATAATTAACATATATTATATTTATTATAACATTATAATTTATATATTATCATTATTATAACATTATATTTACGGCCTTGTGTCAATGAGAGATTTGGAGGTTTGGTGACTGCACACAGAGAGAGACACTTAATCAAACAAACTTAGTCAAATTTAGAAATGCAATGCAACACAGAGAGTCGGTCAACACACAACTAACGCATCTCCTGGCTGATCGCGTTCTTCCACAGGTTGCTAAACTATCTTCTTGGTTCTTTCGGTAAAGTCACGTAGAATGGAAGTAATAAAATAATACAAATATTAAACATATTAGTTTGACTATTTTATTATTTCTATTCTACGTGATGTAAAACATATTAAAAGGTTATTATGTTTTTTTTTATTTCATTGGTTTATGTTTATTCTTTTATTATTTCCATTCTACGTGATGACTTTACCGAAAGAACCAAGCAGATGAATCACTGCAGGCACGAAAGAAGCTTTAAATCGAAATTGCTCAACTAAGCGAGAGAATTGAAGCGAACGCGACCAGGCGAGGGCAGGAGGCACTAGGCCCCGCGTTGTAAAGTTTCAATCTGCACATCGCTTCCATGCTCGCTGCTACTCAATTGACATCCCTACGAGAGAGAGAGCGAGGCTCTACCTCGGTAAACAACAACCACAACCACCACAACCACCACCACCACAACAACCACAACCACCACCACCACAACCGCGATGATAATTTCTCACCTCGGATTGCAGTTCACGCGCGGAGCCGCAACTTTCCGTTACCTCGTGACGTCACGCGGCAGCAGGTGACATGACGTCACTTGCGGGGTACACCTCCCCCTGGCGTTTGATGCCGATGAGGTCACGCTGAGCGGTGACGTCAGAGGGCGGGGTCGGAGTTCAAGTTTGTTGACAGAAGGGGAGCGGCAGTGTCGAAACGGCCTCAAACGAGTCCCCGGTGCGGTGTGTCAACATCGCCAGCACTGGGGAGACAAAGGCGGCCGGGCGTGGTGCTGGCCACCCACCCCCTCGTGTGCCGTGACGACCTGCACCGGTGCTGCTACTCGCTATGAGCAGCATTTTGTAGATGTTGTGGCTTGGCTCTCGACATTTCACGATGACATTTTCACGTCCTTAAAAAGATAATCGCCATACTAACCTATGCCGTTTTTTGGCAAAATCGATCCAAATTTTCTAGCTTTATTTTTCAACGAAAAGTGCATTCCTTAGTTGTGTTTAGCCTGAGTAGCCCATATATTACGATAAAAAGTGTGGAATTTCATGCATAAAATTTAGAAGTAAAAAGAAAAAGTGAATTCCTCCATTTTGTTAAGCATTAGTATGCTCTGTATTACATTAAAAGTGGGAAATTTCACCATAAAATTTTCACGTCCCAAACAGTAAATCGGCATACGAACCTCTGCCGTTGTTGGCTAAAATTTAACGAACTTTTACAGCTGTATCAAATCGGCATACTTTACCAATGCCGTTCTTGGCCAAGATTCGCTACATTTTCATAGCTAGATTTTCCAAAAAAAGTTAATTCCTCCATTTTGTTAAGCATTAGTATGCTCTATATTACTTTAAAAGTGGGAAATTTCACGATTAAATTCTCAAGTCCCAAAAGGAAAATCGGGGATACTTATGCCGGTTTTAACCAAAATAAGCAAAATTTTCATAGCTTTCTTTTTCAACAAAAAGTAAATTAATCAATTGTATTTACCCCTAGTATGCTATGTATTAGATTAAAAGTGGAACATTTTATGATGAAATGTTTACATCCCAATATAGAAAATAGGCATACTAACCTATGCCGTTTTTGGCCAATAATGGACACATTTTTACAGCTTCATTTTTTAACAAAAGTGCAATCCTCGGGTGTGCTTAGCCTTAGTATCCTATATATATTACGTTAAAAAAAGTGGGAAATTTCACGCCGGGTACTTCCCGCGAGTACTCTTATATAAGCACACAACGTCATCTGTGATGAACCCTGCACTTTCCTTCGTTTTCATGCAGGAGGCGCTGCAAACCTACTCGCCCCCTACATAAACGACGGAGGAGTAGGGACAGACGTTCGATCCCGTTGGAATCGATCTGCAGACGGCGGTCTTCTGGCACAGCCAGCTCTGTGTCGCCTTATCTCCACCCCGCGATCCCAACCAGGTGAAAGTCCGCATCGAACCGAACCCCGGTAAGGCCATTTACCTCACGACTAGAGAAATTTCACTACAAAATGTTGTTTTCAATGAAGTCTTCCAGATGTAAAATGACATAAGCTTTAATGAAGAAATACAATTATCTAATTCAAAAATAATACAATTCAAAGTTGTTTCATTTTAAAAATTCTAAACGGAGCATCGGGTGCTTGCGTGGATGTGTCGTTCGTGTGAATTTTTTTCGTGACTTTCCTGGCCTAAGGCCGTAAATGGTTGTGAGGGGCACCGCAGGCGGTCAGGCTTGCTTACAACCCCATGGTTGTGAACATCCAGACGTTAATCGGCAAGGACCATTTCTCGTCCTAATTCGACAAAATCTACGTCAACACGTAATACAAATTATAATTCGTGTTGTTGAGAATGTATCTCCTCTACGTGTAACTTTTGAGTGGTATGCCTTGTAACTGATGAATGATCCGAGTGTGCTCCCTATTTCAAAGACAATGAGTTGCTCCAAAGGCAGACGCTTCCTGAAACACAAAAGTACCCTTTGACCTGTATCACAAGAACTACTGAGTCTCACCTGAAGTGATCTGTACAGGTTACTTGCAAAACACACACTTTGTCCTAACATCACTAATTCAATGTTTGACCCTTATAGACAAAATGGTACATGTACGCACACCATCATACAAGTATTCATTCTAAATTATTGACAGGCATATTAACAAAATTGAATTACTGCACTGAAATATACTGCATTACGTTACATCCTATTAACAAGAAGCTAATTAAAAATATACGCACCGTCTGCTTAACAGTGTATGTACAACATACTAATGCACCATTCAAAACGAGTAGGCCATTGCATGCTGGCGTCTGGGTCAAAATTGATGAAATTCGAAACATTACCGACAAACTCCACAACTGAGATGCCACATCAACCATCGCCCCCTACTGACAGGCTCTTGTCCACATGCAGGCCGGTGCACGGCCACCACCTTGTGCCACATAGGGGCAGCTGCTACCTGGAGATGCTCTTCGAGTGTTTGAGACGAGAAACGATATAGAACTCCGAGTTGCCGGGGCGATTAAGCAAGCACCATATAAATGCAATTGATAACATAGCGAATGCTTGGGAGCTTATTGGCTCTCGCTCCTGGTTAGAGATCTACCCAACACACAGGTCCACACAGACTGGCCGCTCTTACTCTGCAGGTTGAACCTAGGAATTGAGTGTTCAACTTCATTCTTGTCATTAAAAGCCTGTCACAAAGGTGCGTCTATTGGAGCGACATCGTCACTGGCTTACACATCTACCGGGTCTCCATTTGACTTTGTATTGTCTCGGAGGAAGTCCACCCACACCTCCACTTCCACAAACTGCTGGGAGTTGCCTCGCTCTGCCTCACAGTCAGAATTCTCCTCCTGCTTCACGTTGCCTCCATCGATGTGAAGGTCCGATTTGGGAGTTGAATCTTCATCTTCACATTTTACCTTCACTTCTTCGCTCTTCACCATCACTTCTTCACTCTTCACCATCACTTCTTCACTCTTCACCTTCACTTCTTTACGTTTCACCTCGATACCTTTCAAAGCGTCCAAGCTGGAATTGTCTTCCGGTTCTTGTTTGATGAGGGATGGGCTCATTGCGGCACTTTGACTTTCGCAAGCTGATTTCAGACTCCACTCCTTGTGGATCTTCTGATGCTTGTGTGTTCTCTGGTGTCTTTGAAGATTTGATGACTGTGCAAACGCCTTCCCACACACACTGCACCTGAAGGGTTTCTCTCCCGTGTGTGTTCTCTGATGTATTTCAAGATGAGATGAAAATAAAAATGCCTTCCCACACACACTGCACTTGAAGAGTTTTTTTCCCGTGTGTGTTCTCTGGTGTACTTGAAGAGTTTGTTTACGTGCAAATGCCGTCCCGCACAGAGTGCACCTGAAGGGTTTCTCTCCGGTGTGTGTTCTCTGGTGTGCTACAAGACCAGATGAATGTGCAAACGCCTTCCCACACACACTGCACTTGAAGGGTTTCTCTCCCGTGTGTCTTCTCTGGTGTGCTACAAGACCAGAAGAATGTGCAAACGCCTTCCCACACACACTGCACTTGAAGGGTTTCTCTCCTGTGTGAGTTCTCTGGTGTATTATAAGAGTAGATGAAAATGCAAACGCCTTCCCACACACACTGCACTTGAAGGGTGTATCTCCCGTGTGTGTTCTCTGGTGTGCTATAAGAGTAGATGACTGTGCAAACGCCTTCCCACACACACTGCACTTGAAGGGTTTATCTCCCTGTGTGCATTATCTGGTGTTTTACACGAGTAGATGAATCTGAAAACGCCTTCCCACACACACTGCACTTGAAGGGTTTCTCTCCTGTGTGAGTTTTCTGGTGCCTTGTCAAATGTCCAGGATGATCCGTGCTGTATGCACACCGGTCGCATTGTTGCCTTTTTGCACCGAGCCGCGCCGAGTGCCTTTGCTCCATCAGACCAATTTCTGCAGAGGAAGCGACAGCTGCAGACAGAAAAAAAGTTACATCCACGTCAGTATCGATGCACAGAGGAATGCATATTTACACAGTAACACATGACTTATAAGTCGACACTTATTCATATATTCATGATTTAGTGAAAAAGTTTCCCAAATTCATCACACGGGCTGTTCTGGCACACAATGAGAGGGTGAATGGTCATAAACATACCTGGAAGCCCTCGTATCTTCAAAATGAATGTTAACCCAAAACTCCGAGCACGCAATTTTAGGCTGTCTAGCTACAAAAGCAATATTTATGAAAGCTAAATTTAGCTGACATAGCAAAAGGTGTTGAAAATAATACTATTTGTGTTATGCAAAAATGCATAAATTAATGTTCAATCGCAACTTAGGAGGTGTGAAGCCAGCCAGGCTCACGATGTCCTTGCACGCTGGAATGAACAGATCTGACTTCAGCTGCATGTGTATGCTGTGTTAACTTCTTGACTGTTTCCATTCTTATAAAGTTCCAGAGGAAAAAACCAAAAACTTGTTGTGATATAACCTCCGTGTTCAATAGAGTTAATAGACTTAACTGCCAACACAAACTTTACACTGTCACACACTGGCATGGTTAAGAGGTGTGTCCAGACCCATGCCTAACCACCTTCATTTGCTCACTATTAATGCTTCCTGACTCCACAAAGTAATTCAATGAGGATTAATCAACACCCCTGAGGCTGCGTGTCTCTCTCGCTCCCCGTGGTGAGATGTTAACTACCTCTCCTGGCATACAGGAAGTCGTGGATTCATCCCAACCCTGACGCCTGCTGTATATTTAGTTTGTGTGTCTTTCTCTCTTCCCGTGGTCACGTGGATTTCCCTCCGGATCCCCCGATTGTCCCCACTCCACATGCAGAGAGCGAACAACGCCACGTGTCCAGAGTGAACAACGCCACGTGTCTAGAGTGAACACCACCACACGTCTAGAGCGAACACCGCCACGCGTCCAGAGTGAACACCGCCACGCGTCCAGAGTGAACACTGCCACGCGTCCAGAGTGAACACCGCCACGCGTCTAGAGTGAACACCACCACACGTCTAGAGCGAACACCGCCACGCGTCCAGAGTGAACACCGCCACGCGTCCAGAGTGAACACCGCCACGCGTCCAGAGTGAACACCGCCACGCGTCCAGAGTGAACACCGCCACGCGTCCAGAGTGAACACCGCCACGCATCTAGAGTGAACACCACCACGCTGTTGACAAGCCTCACCTTGTTGTTGTTGTTGTTGTGAGCAGGTCGCTTCTGAAAACAAGAGCGGTACAGCAGCTCAAGCGGGCGTGGCCTGGTAAAAAATGAAAAAAAAAGTGTGAATATTTCAAATAAAACAAAGTTACAAAGTAGCGAGCCAGGTGAAGAGAAATTAAAACTTAAGCAAGATACTCTTTGGTTCTTTCGGTAAAGTCACGTAGAATAAAATAAATAAATAAAATTATAGTTTCAGTTTCATTTATTTGGTATAGCCCCGTGAGCCATTCGGCTCTTGAATCGGATGCAACCGCAACAAACAAAAACATGAACGAGAAAACATCTTAAAGTGACTATGTGACTGTGCAAACATAAAATCCAGGGAAAAACAGCAAAATATTCCACAAAAAGCACCGTACACCAACGCTGTGTGCAAATAGCAAACGACGTTTCAATTACAACACAAGCAATCATCATCAGGTACAAATGAAAGAGAAAAAAATCTAGTAAACTTAGAAATGTAATGCAATACAACACAGAGAGTCGGCTAACATAAGTCAACACCCCAACAGGTTGATTACGTTCTTCCAAAGATTTCTCAATTTGAGAAAGACAAAACACAGACACGGAGACACAGATACACATAGACAGACACATAAGCAGAGAGAGATGACAGAAAGACACAGAGAGAGAGAGATACACACATAGACACACAGAGAGAGATGACACAGAGACACAGAGAGACACACACACAGAGACACACAGAGAGATGACACAGACACAGAGAGAGACACACAGAGACATGACAGACACAGAGAGAGACACACACACACACAGAGACACACAGAGAACATTGGGGGGGACCAAATCTTGCAGGGAGTCTGGGGTCCCCCCCCAGAAAAATATCTAAATTTGAAAACTCATTTCCTGCCATTTCCTCCCTAAAATATTTGTAAAAGTTCACTAACACATGGGATGGAATTTTTTTTCTTTTATACAATAATGTCTAAAAGTGTATTGTATTACATTGCTGTTTTTTCTTTTTAACCTTTTCTTGTTTCATAGTATGTAATGGCAGAGATTAGGGATTCATAAAGTACAACGCAATCATATAAACAGAAATCTATGCATTGTTATATGAAGACAACTCCAGATTTCGTGGCCAAGGTTTAGCAAATGGTTCTTTTTATTAACAGAGCATCGCAATTATTATTTACAAATATTTTACAGAAATATATTGGAGGGGCATATTTGATTATTATAATTATAACATATCATGATTATTATAACATGTTATAATTATTATAACATATTATACTTATTATAACATTCTAATTATATATACTATATTTATTATAACATTATAATTACGGCCTTGTGTCAATGAGAGATTTGGAGCTTTGGTGACTGCACACAGAGAGAGACACTTAATCAAACAAACTTAATATTTGAAATGTAATGCAACACAGAGTCGGTCAACACACCAACTAACGTACTCTTAGGTTGTTTCGATAAAGTCACCATGTAGGTAGAAAATTAAATTAAAATTATAATAGTAAAAATAGAAATAAAATAATAAAATCACGCCTCACTTGATGCAGCAAATCTGGCTGTGACGGTCCCACCTGATGACAGAGACTTGTGTTGCCTCCGAAACGTCGTGATTTATTATTTTATATTTTATTTCTATTGTTACTTTTATTAATTGTAATTTCATTTTTCACCTACACGGTGACTTTACCGAACAAACCTAAGAGTATGAATCACTGCAGTCACGAAAGCTTCAAATCTCGAGTTAACACAACTAACGCATCTCCTGGCTGATCGCGTTCTTCCATAGGTTGCTAAACTATCTTCTTGGTTCTTTCGGTAAAGTCACGTAGAATGGAAATAATAAAATAATACAAATATTAAAAATAAGACTATTTTATTATTTCCATTCTACGTGATATAAAACTAATAAAATGTTATGTTTTATTTGTATTATTTTTTTATTTTATTTTATTATTTCCATTCTACGTGATGACTTTACCGAAAGAACCAAGCAGATGAATCACTGCAGTCACGAAAGAAGCTTTACATCGAAATTGCCCAACTAAGCGAGAGAATTGAAGCGAACGCGACCAGGCGAGGGCAGGAGGCACTAGGCCCCGCGTTGTAAAGTTTCAATCTGCACATCGCTTCCATGCTCGCTGCTACTCAAATAACATCCCTACGAGAGAGAGAGAGCGAGGCTCTACCTCGGTAAACAACAACCACAACAACCACAACAACAGCCACAACAACAACCACCACAACCGCGATGATAATTTCTTACCTCAGACTTCAGTTCCCGCGCGGAGCCGCAACTTTCCGTTACCTCGTGACGTCACGCGGCAGCAGCAGGTGACATGACGTCACTTGTGGGGTACAAGACACTCCCCTCCCACAATGAGCGGCTCTGTAACTTACATAAATTATGTTAATGAGCCTGGCCCACTCGTGGAGGGATGGGCCGTGGGTGCCGAACCGGTCACAACGAACTCGTGACGTCTTTCACGAATAATTTATGTTAATGAGCCGCCAGTCAGTGGGCGTGGCTTTGCCCAAATAAGGATAGTGCTTGAACAGATAACGGAAGTGACCCAGGCAGAGGTGACGTCACGCTCCCTTGAGACGGGTTGGGGTGAATACTTTGGTGACATGACGTCACTAGCAAGGTACACCTCCCCCTGGCGTTTCACGCCGATGAGGTCATGCTGAGTGGTGACGTCACGTAGCGGGATTAGAGTTTAAGTTGATTAAGATTAATTTTCCATTGCTCCCTCCCTTGAACAGAGACCCCTTGGGTGTGTGAGCTCAGCTCAACAATGTGGACATTATTGTGTGTGTACACACACACATGGACAGTGTGTACACACGTGTACATTGTGTGTGTGTGTACACACTGTGTGTGTGTACACTGTACACACTGTGTGTACACTGTGTGTGTGTACACTGTGTGTGTACATTGTGTGTACACTGTGTGTGTACACTGCGTGTGTACATTGTGTGTACACACTGCGTGTGTACATTGTGTGTGTGTGTACACTGTGTGTGTGTACACTGTGTGTGTGTACACTGTGTGTACACTGTGTGTGTACACTGCGTGTGTGTGTACACTGTGTGTGTGTGTACACTGCGTGTGTACACTGTGTGTGTACATTGTGTGTACTCTGTGTGTGTGTACTCTGTGTGTGTGTACTCTGTGTGTGTGTACTCTGTGTGTGTACATTGTGTGTACTCTGTGTGTGTGTACACTGTGTGTGTGTACATTGTGTGTGTACACTGTGTGTGTGTACACTGTGTGTGTATACTGTGTGTGTGTACTCTGTGTGTGTACACTGTGTGTGCATTGTGTGTACACTGTGTGTGTACGCTGTGTGTGTACACTGTGTGTGTGTACACTGTGTGTGTACACTGTGCGTGTGTACATTGTGTGTACACTGTGTGATGGCTGGGTGTATGGAATTGATGTGGTTGAGGAATTGTTCTAGAGCAGGCGGGCCATGTGGCCAGATGACAAAAATGTCATCTACGTACCTCTTCCATAAGGTCGGGCGTAGAGTGGCAGTCTGGACGGCGTCAGTCTCAAATTTCTCCATGAAGACGTTGGCTACAACCGGAGATAGGGGGGAGCCCATTGGGGTGCCCTCAGTTTGTTTGTAGAAAGTTCCATTCCAGGTGAAGTATGTATTGGTTAAGCAGTGTCTCACCAGGGGGGGTACCCCAGCATTCAGTCCTTGATGAACCAAGTCTTCAATGATTGCGATGGTGTCAGGTACAGGAACTTTGGTGGATAAGGAAAACACATCAAAACTGACAAGCAGGTCGTCTGGGGACAGGGAAACGTCGTGAGAATTGTATTTTATAATGTTTAATTTTTATTATTTTATTATTTCCCTTCTACGTGACTTTACCGAAAGAACCAAGAAGATTTACTGTTTGTTTTCTACCTGATGACGATTGCTAGTGTTGCAATCGAAACGTCCTATTCTATTATTTAATTTATTTCCTTTCTACGTTACTTTACCGAAAGAACCAAAAAGCAAAATGAAAATTCGCTGAAATGCCTTGACCAACATGGTTGCTTCTTCTTGGTTCTTTCGGTAAAGTCACGTAGAAGGGAAGTAATAAAATAATAAAAATAAAACATAATAAAATAATTCTCACGACGTTTATTATGTTTTATTTATATTATTTTATTACTTCCCTTCTACGTGACTTTACTGAAAGAACCAAGAAGATGAATCCCTGCTGCAGTCACGAAAGAAGCTTTAAATCGACATTTAACATGGTTGCTGTAGCGCCACCGTGTGGACACAGAGTGCAACTGCAGCGCCTCAGCGCGCTAATTGCAGCAGTGGAACTGTCGGTGTCTTCACGGCTTCATTGCAGGAACCCGCTTGGGACAAACGCCAGAACGCCGCCGCAGCAGCAGCAGCAGCAGCGACTCACAACTCGGGGGTGACGCCTGACAGCGGCAACTGCTGGCGTGCTGTGTTGGCCTACACTGCACATGTCCACCACATAGCAGACGTCACCACGCATTGAATACTTGTCCACCAGAGGGCACACGTAGCACGTCAAGCGACGGTTAAAAACAAACCGAAACTCTGCGGACAATTTGCGCTGCAATTCTTTATTCACGGATTTTAAAAAAAAATGGTTGGAGCGCCTCCCTGCGTGGTGACGTCATCGCGCTCGGGTTGGTGGGTGCCACCGTGCGTGGTGACGTCATCGCGCTCGGGTTGGTTGGGGCGCCTCCCTGCGTGGTGACGTCATCGCGCTCGGGTTAGTGGGAGCCCCCGTGCGTGGTGACGTCATCGCGCTCGGGTTGGTGGGCGCCCCCGTGCGTGGTGACGTCATCGCGGTCGGGGTGGCGGGCGCCCCCGTGCGTGGTGACGTCATTGCGCTCGGGTTGGTTGGGGCACCTCCCCGTTTGGTGACGTCATCGCGCTCGGGTGCCTCCCTGCGTGGTGACGTCATCGCGCTCGGGTTGGTTGGGGCGCCTCCCCGTGTGGTGACGTCATCGCGCTCGGGTTGGGGCGCCTCCCTGCGTGGTGACGTCATCGCGCTCGGGTTGGTTGGGGCACCTCCCTCCGTGGTGACGTCATCGTGTGGGCGGGGGGCTGGTCACGTGGGCGGGGGGGCTGGTCACGTGGGCGGGGGGGGCTGGTCACGTGGGCGGGGGGGCTGGTCAGAATGTGTCTCACATAATACAAAATTATAATTCGTGTTGTAGAGAATGTATCTCCTCTACGTGTAACTTTTGAGTGGTTTGCCTTGTAATAGATGAATGATCCGAGTGTGCTCCCTATTTCAAAGACAATGAGTTGCTCCAGAGGGAAATGCTTCCTGAAAACACAAAAATACCCTTTGACCTGTATCACAAGAACAATGAGTCTCACCTGAGTGATCTGTACAGGTTACTTGCAAAACACACACTGTGTCCTAACATGACTTATTCAATGTTTGACCCTTATAGACAAAAGGTTACATATACGCACACCATCAGACAAGTATTCATTCTAAATTAGTGACAGGCATATTAACAAAATTGAATGACTGCACTGAAATATACTGCATTAGGTTACATCGCATTAACAAGAAGCTAATTTTAAAAAAAACGCACCGTCTGTTTTACTGGTGCACAATCATACGAGTCAGGTGTGTGTCTTAACCTCCGCCGAACCCCTGAGACTGACTCACCGAACCCCTGGGGTTCGATCGAACCCAGGTTAAGAACCACTGGTCTAAGGCTTACGGATCTCCCGGGTCTCCATTTGACTTTGTATTGTCTCGGAGGAAGTCCACCCACACCTCCACTTCCAAACTGCTGGGAGTTGCCTCGCTCTGCCTCAGTCAGAATTCTCCTCCTGCTTCACGTTGTCTCCATCGATGTGGAATTGAATCTTCTTCTTCACATTCCACCTTCACCTCTTCATATTTCACCTTGATTTCTTTGAAAGTGTCCAAGCTGGGATTTTCTTCCGGTTCTTGTTTGATGAGGGATAGGCTCATTGAGGCACTTTGACTTTCATAAGCTGATTTCAGACTCCACTCCTTGTGGATCTTCTGATGCTTGTGTGATCTCTGGTGTCTTTGAAGATTTGGTGAAAGTGCAAACGCCTTCCCACACAAACTGCACTTGAAGGGTTTTTCTCCCGTGTGTGTTCTCTTGTGTGTTACAAGATGAGCTGAACGTGCAAACGCCTTCCCACACACACTGCACTTGAAGGGTTTCTCTCCCGTGTGTGTTCTCTGGTGTGCTCCAAGAGTAGATGAACATGCAAACGCCTTCCCACACACACTGCACTTGAAGGGTTTCTCTCCCGTGTGTGTTCTCTGGTGTGCTACAAGAGTAGATGACTGTGAAAATGCCTTGCCACACACACTGCACTTGAAGGGTTTCTCTCCCGTGTGTGTTCTCTCGTGTTTTACAAGAGTAGATAAATCTGAAAACGCCTTCCCACACACACTGCACTTGAAGGGTTTCTCTCCTGTGTGAGTTCTCTGGTGCCGTGTCAAATGTGCAGGACCATCCGTGCTGTATGCACACCGGTCGCATTGATGCCTTATTGCACCGAGCTGCGCAGAGTGCCTTTGCTCCATCAGACCAATTCTGCAGAGGCAGCGACAGCTGCAGACAGAAACAAAGAATATCCACACCATCTACACGTCAGTATCGAGGCACAGAGGAATGCATATATACACAGTCACACGTGACTTACACGTCTATAGTTATTCATATATTTATGATATAGTAAAAAAGTGTCCCAAATTCATCACATGGGCTGTTAAGGCACACAATGAGAGGGCAAATGGTTATAACCGTGCCTGGAAGCCCTCGTATCTTCAAAATGAACGTTAACCCAAAACTCAGCACACAATTTCAGCTGTCTGGCTTCTAAATAAATGTTTATGAAAGCTAAATTCAGCTGACATAGCAAAGGGTGTTGCAAATAATACTATTTGTGTCATGCACAAATGCATAAATTAATGTTCAATCGCAATTTAGAGGTGTGAAGCCAGGCACAGATGTCCTTGATTGCTGGGATGAGCAGTTCCGACTTCAGCTGCTGCACGTGTGTGCTGTGATCACTTCCTGACTCCATTCTTACAAAGACTTCCAGAGGAAAACTTAAATAAACTACTGTTTTGATATAACCTCTGTGCTCAACAGAGTTAATAGACTTTACTGCAAATACAAACTTGACAATGTCACACACACTCAGAGGTGGAGCCAGGATTTTCAGGTAGGGGGGGAAACCCCTCCAGCAATGAAAAATTACAGGAGTTGTTAGTAAGAAAGGAGTTGTTAGTAAGAAAGGAGTTGTTAGTAAGAAAAGACTTGTCCCTTGCTTTTCATTCGACGCGTGTGATCATCATCGCGCTCGCTGAACGTGTTGATGCCTTCAGGAGAGAAAAATAGACTTTTGTATTTTGGGGGGGGGGGGGGGGGGGAAATGACCATGATGTATGTGGAATCAACCCGCATCACACCTGAGCTAAGCGCTCTGCAATGCTTACCCCCCTACCACATGGCTCTTCGCGCGCCGTACTTCTACAGCTGTTCACAGCGTGCCGGGAGATTTTAGGTGGCGCTTCGCTCCTGGCCGATTAAGTCATTGGCTTCTCGGAGTTTCAATACAAATCCGTGTGAAGAACGGGTACAACTGCCATCTTAAATATAAAGCAGAACTTACACCTGTTTGTTTGTGTGAAGCAGCAAAAAGTCTCCAACGCTGAGCTCTGGCGAAATGAAATATTCACAGATTATGCTGCTGGGATTTCTAAGCGAACGCCATGTCATTCCCTTCCCGAGTGGCAAAAATCGACCTGACGTAGCAGTGGGTTCAGGTTGAATTTCCTCGATTGAAAACATCCGATTTAGGTAAATTGAAGTGTTTCGGCTTCCTTCTTGCAAGCATCAATTTTTTCAGGGTTTTTCAGTGAATTATGAGAGAATATTAAATTAATCCAAGACAAGTATCCAAGTCCCGGGCAAAGCCGGGTAGTGAAGCTAGTTACTAATAAACCCCAATGATCCTATCGAAATTACGGATTTCTATCGGATCGTTGGGGGGGCACGTGCCACCCCACCCCCACTGGCTCCACCACTGTCACACACTGGCATGGTTCACAGGTGGTGGTGTGTCCAGACCCACGCCTGGCCACCTTCACCTGCTCAGTATTAATGCTTCCTCACTCCACCAAGTAATTCATTGAGGATCAACCAACACAGCCGAGGCTGCGTGTCTCTCTGTGGTGAGATGTTAACTACCTCTCCTGGCATACAGGAAGTCGTGGGTTCCATCCCGACCCTGACGCCTGCTGTATATTTGTAGTTTACGTGTCTCTCTCTCTCTCCCCGTGGTCGCGTGGATTTCCTTCCCGATCCCCGGGTTTCCCCTCCACATGTAGAGAGTGAACACCGCCACGCGTCCAGAGTGAACACCGCCACGCGTCTAGAGTGAACACCGCCACACGTCCAGAGTGAACACCACCAGGTGTCTAGAGTGAACACCACCACGCGTCTAGAGTGAACACCGCCACATGTCCAGAGTGAACACCGCCACGCGTCTAGAGTGAACACCGCCACACGTCCAGAGTGAACACCACCAGGTGTCTAGAGTGAACACCACCACGCGTCTAGAGTGAACACCGCCACACGTCCAGAGTGAACACCGCCACGCGTCTAGAGTGAACACCGCCACACGTCCAGAGTGAACACCACCAGGTGTCTAGAGTGAACACCACCACGCGTCTAGAGTGAACACCGCCACACGTCCAGAGTGAACACCGCCACGCGTCTAGAGTGAACACCGCCACGTGTCTAGAGTGAACACCGCTACGTGTCTAAAGTGTACACCACCACGCGTCTAGAGTGAACACCACCACGTGTCTAGAGTGAACACCGCCACACATCTAGAGTGAACACCACCACGCGTCTAGAGTGAACACCGCCAAGCGTCTAGAGTGAACACCACCACGCGTCTAGAGTGAACACCGCCAAGCGTCTAGAGTGAACACCACCACGCGTCTAGAGTGAACACTGCCACGCGTCCAGAGTGAACACCACCACGCGTCTAGAGTGAACACCACCACGCGTCTAGAGTGAACACCACCACGTGTCTAGAGTGAACACCACCACGTGTCTAGAGTGAACACCACCACGCGTCTAGAGTGAACACCACCACGCGTCTAGAGTGAACACCGCCAAGCGTCTAGAGTGAACACCACCACGCGTCTAGAGTGAACACTGCCACGCGTCCAGAGTGAACACCACCACGCGTCTAGAGTGAACACCGCCAAGCGTCTAGAGTGAACACCACCACGTGTCTAGAGTGAACACCACCACGCGTCTAGAGTGAACACCACCACGCGTCTAGAGTGAACACCGCCAAGCGTCTAGAGTGAACACCACCACGCGTCTAGAGTGAACACTGCCACGCGTCCAGAGTGAACACCACCACGCGTCTAGAGTGAACACCACCACGTGTCTAGAGTGAACACCGCCAAGCGTCTAGAGTGAACACCACCACGTGTCTAGAGTGACCACCACCACGCGTCTAGAGTGAACACCGCCACGCGTCTAGAGTGAACACCACCACGCGTCTAGAGTGAACACTGCCACGCGTCTAGAGTGAACACCTCCACGCGTCTAGAGTGAACACCACCACGCGTCTAGAGTGAACACCACCACGTGTCTAGAGTGAACACCGCCACGTGTCTAGAGTGAACACCACCACGCGTCTAGAGTGAACACCGCCACGTGTCTAGAGCGAACACCGCCACGTGTCTAGAGTGAACACCACCACATGTCTATAGTGAACACCGCCACGTGTCTAGAGTGAACACCACCACGCGTCTAGAGTGAATCCCGCCACGTGTCTAGAGCGAACACCGCCACGTGTCTAGAGTGAACACCACCACATGTCTAGAGTGAACACCACCACGTGTCTAGAGTGAACACCGCCATGCGTCTAGAGTGAACACCACCACATGTCTAGAGTGAACACTGCCACGCGTCTAGAGTGAACACCACCACGCGTCCAGAGTGAACACTGCCACGCGTCTAGAGTGAACACCGCCACGCGTCCAGAGTGAACACCACCACGTGTCTAGAGTGAACACCACCACACGTCTAGGGTGAACACCGCCACGTGTCTAGAGTGAACACCGCCACGCGTCCAGAGTGAACACCTCCACGCGTCCAGAGTGAACACCACCACGTGTCTAGAGTGAAAACCGCCACGCGTCTAGAGTGAACACCACCACGCGTCTAGAGTGAACACCGCCACGCGTCTAGAGTGAACACCGCCACGCGTCCAGAGTGAACACCGCCACGTGTCTAGAGTGAACACCACCACGTGTCTAGAGTGAACACCACCACGTGTCTAGAGTGAACACCACCACGCGTCCAGAGTGAACACCGCCACGTGTCTAGAGTGAACACCACCACGTGTCTAGAGTGAACACCACCACGTGTCTAGAGTGAACACCACCACGTGTCCAGAGTGAACACCGCCACGTGTCTAGAGTGAACACCGCCACGCGTCTAGAGTGAACACCGCCACGTGTCCAGAGTGAACACCACCACGTGTCTAGAGTGAACACCGCCACGTGTCTAGAGTGAACACCGCCACGTGTCTAGAGTGAACACCGCCACGTGTCTAGAGTGAACACCGCCACGTGTCTAGAGTGAACACCGCCACGTGTCTAGAGTGAACACCGCCACGTGTCCAGAGTGAACACCGCCACGTGTCTAGAGTGAACACCGCCACGTGTCCAGAGTGAACACCGCCACGTGTCTAGAGTGAACACCGCCACGCTGTTGACGTGCCTCACCTTGTTGTTGTTGTGGGCAGGTCGCTTCTGAAAACAAGAGCGGTACAGCAGCTCAAGCGGGCTTGGCCTGGTAAAATGAAAAAAAAAACAGTGTTAGTATAGAATATTTAAACAAAGGTACAAAGTGGCGATCTGGGTCAAGACAAATTAAACTAAGCGAGAGAATTGAAGCGAATGCGACCAGGCGAGGGCAGGAGGCAAGGCCCCGCGTTGTAAAGTTCCAACGTGGACATCGCTTCCATGCTCGCTGCTACTCAATTGACATCCCTATGAGAGAGAGAGAGCGAGGCTCTACCTCTGTACACAACAACAACCACCACAACCACAACCAACACAACACGCACCACCACCACAAATACCACAACCACCACAACTACCACCACCACAACCACCACCACCACAACTACCACCACCACCCCCACCACAACAACTACCACCACCACCACAACAACTACCACCACAACAACTACCACCACCACAACAACTACCACCACCACAACTACCACCACCACCACAACAACTACCACCACCACAACAACTACCACCACCACAACTACCACCACCACCACAACAACTACCACCACCACAACAACTACCACCACCACAACTACCACCACCACCACAACTACTACCACTACCACAACAACTACCACCACCACAACAACTACCACCACCACAACAACTACCACCACAACTGCAACCACCACAACCGCAACCACCACCACAACCACCACAACCACCACCACCCCCATCACTACCACCACAACTACCACCACAACCACCACCACAACCACCACCACAACCACCACCACCACAACCACCACCACAACCACCACAACCACAACAACCACAACAACCGCGATGATAATTTCTCACCTCGGATTGCAGTTCACGGGCGGAGCGGCAACTTCCTGGTCCCTCGTGACGTCACGCGGCAGCAGGTGACATGACGTCACTTGCGGGGTACACCTCCCCCTGGCGTTTGACGCCAATGAGGTCACGCTGAGCGGTGACGTCAGAGAGCGGGGTCAGAGTTCAAGTTTGTTGACAGAAAGGGAGCGGCAGTGTCGAAACGGCCTCAAACGAGTCCCCGGTGCGGTGTGTCAACATCGCCAGCACTGGGGAGACAAAGGCGGCCGGGCGTGGTGCTGGCCACCCACCCCCTCTGTGTGTGCCGTGACGACCTCCACCGGTGCTGCTACTCGCTATGAGCAGCACTTTGTAGATGTCGCGGCTTGGCTCTCCAGCACACCGCTGGCGACATTTCACGATGACATTTTCACGTCCATAAAAGGATAATCGCCATACTAACCTAGGCCGTTTTTTGGCAAAATTGATGCAATTTTTTTTTAGCTTTTTTTGCAACGAAAAGTGCATTCCTTGGTTGTGTTTAGCCTGAGTAGCCCATATATTACGTTAAAAAGTGGGGAATTTCATGCATGAAATTTTCGTATATAAAAAAGTTAATCGGCATACTGTGCCGTTTTTAGGCTCAATAAGCCCAACGTTCACAGCTTTATTTTAGGACGAAAGTTAATTCCTCTATTGTATTTAGCCTTAGTATGCCATGTGTTAGATTAAAAGTGGAACATTTCACGATGAAATGTTCACGTCCCAAACAGGAAATCGCCATACGAACCTCTGCCGTTTTTGGCTAAAATTGAACGAATTTTTACAGCTGTATTTTTTAACAAAAAGTGCATTCCTCGGTTGTGTTTAGCCTGAGTAGTCTATATATTACATTAAAAGTGAGAAATTTCACCATGAAATTTGAAGTAAAAACATCAAATCGGCATACTTTACCAATGCCATTCTTGGCCAAAATTTTCTCAATTTTCATAGCTAGATTTTCCAAGAAAAAGTGAATTCCTCCATTTTGTTAAGCATTCGTATGCTCTATATTACTTTAAAAGTGGGAAATTTCACGATTAAATTTTCACGCCCCAAAAATAAAATCGGCATACTTATGCCGGTTTTAACCAAAATAAGCAAAATTTGTATAGCTTTCTTTTTCAAAAAAAAGTTCATTCATCAATTGTATTTACCCTTAGTATGCTATTAGATTAAAAGTGGAACATTTTATGATGAAATGTGCACGTCCCAATATATAAAATCGGCATACTAACCTATGCCGTTTTTGGCCAATAATGGACAAATATTTGCAACTTCATTTTTCAACAAAAGTGCAATCCTCGGGTGTGCTTAGCCTTAGTATCCTATATATTACGATAAAAGGTGGGAAATTTCACGCCGGGTATTTCCTGCGAGTACTCTTATATAAGCACACAACTTCATCTGTGATGAACCCTGCACTTAGTTTTCATGCAGGAGGCGCTGCAAACCTACGCGCCCCCTGCATGAACGACGGAGGAGCAGGGACAGACTTTCAATCGCGTTGGAATCGATCTGCAGACGGCGGACTTCTGGCGCGGCCAGCTCTGTGTCGCCTTATCTCCACCCCGCGATCCCAACCAGGAGAAAGTCCACATCGAACCGAACCCCGGTAAGGCCATCTACTTAACGACTAGAGAAAATTCACACGAAATGTCGTTTTCAATCAAGTCTTCCAGATGTAAAATGATGTAAGCTTTTATTGTAGAAACACAATTCAAAACAATATACAATTTAAAGTTGTTTCATTTTAAAACTTCAAAACGGAGCATCGGGTGCTTGCGTGGATGCGTCGTTCATGGACAATTTTTTTCGTGACTTTCCTGGCCTAAGGCCGTAAATGGTTGTGAGGGGCACTGCAGGCGGTCAGGCTTACTTCAACCCCATGGTTGTCAACATCCAGACGTTAATCGGCAAGGACCATTTCTCGTCCTAATTCGACAAAATCTACGTCAACACGTAATACAAAATTATAATTCGTGTTGTTGAGAATGTATCTCCTCTACGTGTAACTTTTGAGTGGTATGCCTTGTAACTGATGAATGATCCGAGTGTGCTCCCTATTTCAAAGACAATGAGTTGCTCCAAAGGCAGACGCTTCCTGAAAACACAAAAGTACCCTTTGACCTGTATCACAAGAACTACGAGTCTCACCTGAATGATCTGTACAGGTTACTTGCAAAACACACACTTTGTCCTAACATCACTTATTCAATGTTTGACCCTTATAGACAAAATGGTACATGTACGCACACCATCATACAAGTATTCATTCTAAATTATTGACAGACATATTAACAAAATTGAATTACTGCACTGAAATATACTGCATTACGTTACATCCTATTAACAAGAAGCTAATTAAAAATATACGCACCGTCTGCTTAACAGTGTATGTACAACATACTAATGCACCATTCAAAACGAGTAGGCCATTGCATGCTGGCGTCTGGGTCAAAATTGATGAAATTCGAAACATTACCGACAAACTCCACAACTGAGATGCCACATCAACCATCGCCCCCTACTGACAGGCTCTTGTCCACATGCAGGCCGGTGCACGGCCACCACCTTGTGCCACATAGGGGCAGCTGCTACCTGGAGATGCTCTTCGAGTGTTTGAGACGAGAAACGATATAGAACTCCGAGTTGCCGGGGCGATTAAGCAAGCACCATATAAATGCAATTGATAACATAGCGAATGCTTGGGAGCTTATTGGCTCTCGCTCCTGGTTAGAGATCTACCCAACACACAGGTCCACACAGACTGGCCGCTCTTACTCTGCAGGTTGAACCTAGGAATTGAGTGTTCAACTTCATTCTTGTCATTAAAAGCCTGTCACAAAGGTGCGTCTATTGGAGCGACATCGTCACTGGCTTACACATCTACCGGGTCTCCATTTGACTTTGTATTGTCTCGGAGGAAGTCCACCCACACCTCCACTTCCACAAACTGCTGGGAGTTGCCTCGCTCTGCCTCACAGTCAGAATTCTCCTCCTGCTTCACGTTGCCTCCATCGATGTGAAGGTCCGATTTGGGAGTTGAATCTTCATCTTCACATTTTACCTTCACTTCTTCGCTCTTCACCATCACTTCTTCACTCTTCATCATCACTTCTTCACTCTTCACCTTCACTTCTTTACGTTTCACCTCGATACCTTTCAAAGCGTCCAAGCTGGAATTGTCTTCCGGTTCTTGTTTGATGAGGGATGGGCTCATTGCGGCACTTTGACTTTCGCAAGCTGATTTCAGACTCCACTCCTTGTGGATCTTCTGATGCTTGTGTGTTTTCTGGTGTCTTTGAAGATTTGATGACTGTGCAAACGCCTTCCCACACACACTGCACCTGAAGGGTTTCTCTCCCGTGTGTGTTCTCTGATGTATTTCAAGATGAGATGAAAATAAAAATGCCTTCCCACACACACTGCACTTGAAGGGTTTCTCTCCCGTGTGTGTTCTCTGGTGTCTTTCAAAAGCAGATGACTTTGAAAACGCCTTCCCACACACACTGCACTTGAAGGGTTTTTCTCCCGTGTGTGTTCTCTGGTGTACTTGAAGAGTTTGTTTACGTGCAAATGCCGTCCCGCACAGAGTGCACCTGAAGGGTTTCTCTCCGGTGTGTGTTCTCTGGTGTGTTATAAGAGCAGATAAATCTGAAAACGCCTTCCCACACACACTGCACTTGAAGGGTTTCTCTCCCGTGTGTCTTCTCTGGTGTGTTATAAGAGCAGATACATCTGAAAACGCCTTCCCACACACACTGCACTTGAAGGGTTTCTCTCCCGTGTGTCTTCTCTGGTGTGCTACAAGACCAGATGAATGTGCAAACGCCTTCCCACACACACTGCACTTGAAGGGTTTCTCTCCTGTGTGAGTTCTCTGGTGTATTATAAGAGTAGATGAAAATGCAAACGCCTTCCCACACACACTGCAATTGAAGGGTGTATCTCCCGTGTGTGTTCTCTGGTGTGCTATAAGAGTAGATGACTGTGCAAACGCCTTCCCACACACACTGCACTTGAAGGGTTTATCTCCCGTGTGCATTCTCTGGTGTTTTACACGAGTAGATGAATCTGAAAACGCCTTCCCACACACACTGCACTTGAAGGGTTTCTCTCCTGTGTGAGTTTTCTGGTGCCTTGTCAAATGTCCAGGATGATCCGTGCTGTATGCACACCGGTCGCATTGTTGCCTTTTTGCACCGAGCCGCGCCGAGTGCCTTTGCTCCATCAGACCAATTTTGCAGAGGAAGCGACAGCTGCAGACAGAAAAAAAGTTACATCCACGTCAGTATCGATGCACAGAGGAATGCATATTTACACAGTAACACATGACTTATAAGTCGACACTTATTCATATATTCATGATATAGTGAAAAAGTTTCCCAAATTCATCACACGGGCTGTTCTGGCACACAATGAGAGGGTGAATGGTCATAAACATACCTGGAAGCCCTCGTATCTTCAAAATGAATGTTAACCCAAAACTCCGAGCACGCAATTTTAGGCTGTCTAGCTACAAAAGCAATATTTATGAAAGCTAAATTTAGCTGACATAGCAAAAGGTGTTGAAAATAATACTATTTGTGTTATGCAAAAATGCATAAATTAATGTTCAATCGCAACTTAGAGGTGTGAAGCCAGCCAGGCTCACGATGTCCTTGCACGCTGGAATGAACAGATCTGACTTCAGCTGCATGTGTGTGCTGTGTTAACTTCTTGACTGTTTCCATTCTTATAAAGTTCCAGAGGAAAACAAAAACTATTGTTGTGATATAACCTCCGTGTTCAATAGAGTTAATAGACTTAACTGCCAACACAAACTTTACACTGTCACACACTGGCATGGTTAAGAGGTGTGTCCAGACCCATGCCTAACCACCTTCATTTGCTCACTATTAATGCTTCCTGACTCCACAAAGTAATTCAATGAGGATTAATCAACACCCCTGAGGCTGCGTGTCTCTCTCGCTCCCCGTGGTGAGATGTTAACTACCTCTCCTGGCATACAGGAAGTCGTGGATTCATCCCAACCCTGACGCCTGCTGTATATTTAGTTTGTGTGTCTTTCTCTCTTCCCGTGGTCACGTGGATTTCCCTCCGGATCCCCCGATTGTCCCCACTCCACATGCAGAGAGCGAACACCGCCACGCGTCCAGAGTGAACACCGCCACGCGTCCAGAGTGAACACCGCCACGCGTCCAGAGTGAACACCGCCACGCGTCCAGAGTGAACACCGCCACGCGTCCAGAGTGAACACCGCCACGCGTTCAGAGTGAACACCGCCACGCATCTAGAGTGAACACCACCACGCTGTTGACAAGCCTCACCTTGTTGTTGTTGTTGTTGTGAGCAGGTCGCTTCTGAAAACAAGAGCGGTACAGCAGCTCAAGCGGGCGTGGCCTGGTAAAAAATGAAAAAAAAAGTGTGAATATTTCAAATAAAACAAAGTTACAAAGTAGCGAGCCAGGTGAAGAGAAATTAAAACTTAAGCAAGATACTCTTTGGTTCTTTCGGTAAAGTCACGTAGAATAAAATAAATAAATAAAATTATAGTTTCAGTTTCATTTATTTGGTATAGCCCCGTGAGCCATTCGGCTCTTGAATCGGATGCAACCGCAACAAACAAAAACATGAACGAGAAAACATCTTAAAGTGACTATGTGACTGTGCAAACATAAAATCCAGGGAAAAACAGCAAAATATTCCACAAAAAGCACCGTACACCAACGCTGTGTGCAAATAGCAAACGACGTTTCAATTACAACACAAGCAATCATCATCAGGTACAAATGAAAGAGAAAAAAATCTAGTAAACTTAGAAATGTAATGCAATACAACACAGAGAGTCGGCTAACATAAGTCAACACCCCAACAGGTTGATTACGTTCTTCCAAAGATTTCTCAATTTGAGAAAGACAAAACACAGACACGGAGACACAGAGACACATAGACAGACACATAAGCAGAGAGAGATGACAGAAAGACACAGAGAGAGAGAGATACACACATAGACACACAGAGAGAGATGACACAGAGACACAGAGAGACACACACACAGAGACACACAGAGAGATGACACAGACACAGAGAGAGACACACAGAGACATGACAGACACAGAGAGAGACACACACACACACAGAGACACACAGAGAACATTGGGGGGGACCAAATCTTGCAGGGAGTCTGGGGTCCCCCCCCAGAAAAATATCTAAATTTGAAAACTCATTTCCTGCCATTTCCTCCCTAAAATATTTGTAAAAGTTCACTAACACATGGGATGGAATTTTTTTTCTTTTATACAATAATGTCTAAAAGTGTATTGTATTACATTGCTGTTTTTTCTTTTTAACCTTTTCTTGTTTCATAGTATGTAATGGCAGAGATTAGGGATTCATAAAGTACAACGCAATCATATAAACAGAAATCTATGCATTGTTATATGAAGACAACTCCAGATTTCGTGGCCAAGGTTTAGCAAATGGTTCTTTTTATTAACAGAGCATCGCAATTATTATTTACAAATATTTTACAGAAATATATTGGAGGGGCATATTTGATTATTATAATTATAACATATCATGATTATTATAACATGTTATAATTATTATAACATATTATACTTATTATAACATTCTAATTAATATATACTATATTTATTATAACATTATAATTACGGCCTTGTGTCAATGAGAGATTTGGAGCTTTGGTGACTGCACACAGAGAGAGACACTTAATCAAACAAACTTAATATTTGAAATGTAATGCAACACAGAGTCGGTCAACACACCAACTAACGTACTCTTAGGTTGTTTCGATAAAGTCACCATGTAGGTAGAAAATTAAATTAAAATTATAATAGTAAAAATAGAAATAAAATAATAATAAAATCACGCCTCACTTGATGCAGCAAATCTGGCTGTGACGGTCCCACCTGATGACTTGTGTTGCCTCCGAAACGTCGTGATTTATTATTTTATATTTTATTTCTATTGTTACTTTTATTAATTTTAATTTCATTTTTCACCTACACGGTGACTTTACCGAACAAACCTAAGAGTATGAATCACTGCAGTCACGAAAGCTTCAAATCTCGAGTTAACACAACTAACGCATCTCCTGGCTGATCGCGTTCTTCCATAGGTTGCTAAACTATCTTCTTGGTTCTTTCGGTAAAGTCACGTAGAATGGAAATAATAAAATAATACAAATATTAAAAATAAGACTATTTTATTATTTCCATTCTACGTGATATAAAACTAATAAAATGTTATGTTTTATTTGTATTATTTTTTATTTTATTTTATTATTTCCATTCTACGTGATGACTTTACCGAAAGAACCAAGCAGACGAATCACTGCAGGCACGAAAGAAGCTTTAAATCGAAATTGCTCAACTAAGCGAGAGAATTGAAGCGAACGCGACCAGCCGAGGGCAGGAGGCACTAGGCCCCGCGTTGTAAAGTTTCAATCTGCACATCGCTTCCATGCTCGCTGCTACTCAAATAACATCCCTACGAGAGAGAAAGAGCGAGGCTCTACCTCGGTAAACAACAACCACAACAACCACAACAACAGCCACAACAACAACCACCACAACCGCGATGATAATTTCTTACCTCAGATTTCAGTTCCCGCGCGGAGCCGCAACTTTCCGTTACCTCGTGACGTCACGCGGCAGCAGCAGGTGACATGACGTCACTTGCGGAGTACAAGACACTCCCCTCCCACAATGAGCGGCTCTGTAACTTACATAAATTATGTTAATGAGCCTGGCCCACTCGTGGAGGGATGGGCCGTGGGTGCCGAACCGGTCACAACGAACTCGTGACGTCTTTCACGAATAATTTATGTTAATGAGCCGCCAGTCAGTGGGCGTGGCTTTGCCCAAATAAGGATAGTGCTTGAACAGATAACGGAAGTGACCCAGGCAGAGGTGACGTCACGCTCCCTTGAGACGGGTTGGGGTGAATACTTTGGTGACATGACGTCACTAGCAAGGTACACCTCCCCCTGGCGTTTCACGCCGATGAGGTCATGCTGAGCGGTGACGTCACAGAGCGGAGTTGGAGTTTAAGTTGATTAAGATTCATTTTCCATTGCTCCCTCCCTTGAACAGAGACCCCTTGGGTGTGTGAGCTCAGCTCAACAATGTTGACATTATTGTGTGTGTACACACACACATGGACAGTGTGTACACACGTGTACATTGTGTGTGTGTACACACTGTGTGTGTGTACACACTGTACACACTGTGTGTACACTGTGTGTGTGTACACTGCGTGTGTACATTGTGTGTGTGTACACACACATGGACAGTGTGTACACACGTGTACATTGTGTGTGTGTACGTACACACTGTGTGTACACACTGTGTGTACACACTGTGTGTGTGTGCACTGTGTGTGTGTACACTGTGTGTGTGTACACTGTGCGTGTGTACATTGTGTGTACACTGTGTGATGGCTGGGTGTATGGAATTGATGTGGTTGAGGAATTGGTCTAGAACAGGCGGGCCATGTGGCCAGATGACAAAAGTGTCATCTTCGTACCTCTTCCATAAGGTCGGGCGTAGAGTGGCAGTCTGGACGGCGTCAGTCTCAAATTTCTCCATGAAGACGTTGGCTACAACCGGAGATAGGGGGGAGCCCATTGGGGTGCCCTCAGTTTGTTTGTAGAAAGTTCCATTCCAGGTGGAGTATGTATTGGTTAAGCAGTGTCTCACCAGGGGGGGTACCCCAGCATTCAGTCCTTGATGAACCAAGTTTTCAATGATTGCGATGGTGTCAGGTACAGGAACTTTGGTGGATAAGGAAAACACATCAAAACTGACAAGCAGGTCGTCTGGGGACAGGGAAACGTCGTGAGAATTGTATTTTATTATGTTGTATTTTTATTATTTTATTATTTCCCTTCTACGTGACTTTACCGAAAGAACCAAGAAGATTTACTGTTTGTTTTCTACCTGATGACGATTGCTTGTGTTGCAATCGAAACGTCCTATTCTATTATTTAATTTATTTCCTTTCTACGTTACTTTACCGAAAGAACCAAAAAGCAAAATGAAAATTCGCTGAAATGCCTTGACCAACATGGTTGCTTCTTCTTGGTTCTTTCGGTAAAGTCACGTAGAAGGGAAGTAATAAAATAATAAAAATAAAACATAATATAATAATTCTCACGACGTTTATTATGTTTTATTTATATTATTTTATTACTTCCCTTCTACGTGACTTTACTGAAAGAACCAAGAAGATGAATCCCTGCAGTCACGAAAGCTTTAAATCGAAATTTATTTTATTATGTTTTATTTGTATTATTTTATTACTTCCCTTCTACGTGACGACTTTACCGAAAGAACCAAGAAGATGAATCCCTGCTGCAGTCACGAAAGAAGCTTTACATCGACATTTAACATGGTTGCTGTAGCGCCACCGTGTGGCCACATAGTGCAACTGCAGCGCCTCAGCGCGCTAATTGCAGCAGTGGAACTGTCGGTGTCTTCACGGCTTCATTGCAGGAACCCGCTTGGGACAAACGCCAGAACGCCGCAGCAGCAGCAGCAGCGACTCACAACTCGGGGGTGACGCCTGACAGCGGCAACTGCTGGCGTGCTGTGTTGGCCTACACTGCACATGTCCACCACATAGCAGACGTCACCACGCATTGAATACTTGTCCACCAGAGGGCACACGTAGCACGTCAAGCGACGGTTAAAAACAAACCGAAACTCTGCGGACAATTTGCGCTGCAATTCTTTATTCACGGATTTTAAAAAAAAATGGTTGGAGCGCCTCCCTGCGTGGTGACGTCATCGCGCTCGGGTTGGTGGGTGCCACCGTGCGTGGTGACGTCATCGCGCTCGGGTTGGTTGGGGCGCCTCCCTGCGTGGTGACGTCATCGCGCTCGGGTTAGTGGGAGCCCCCGTGCGTGGTGACGTCATCGCGCTCGGGTTGGTGGGCGCCCCCGTGCGTGGTGACGTCATCGCGGTCGGGGTGGCGGGCGCCCCCGTGCGTGGTGACGTCATTGCGCTCGGGTTGGTTGGGGCACCTCCCCGTGTGGTGACGTCATCGCGCTCGGGTGCCTCCCTGCGTGGTGACGTCATCGCGCTCGGGTTGGTTGGGGCGCCTCCCCGTGTGGTGACGTCATCGCGCTCGGGTTGGGGCGCCTCCCTGCGTGGTGACGTCATCGCGCTCGGGTTGGTTGGGGCACCTCCCTCCGTGGTGACGTCATCGTGTGGGCGGGGGGCTGGTCACGTGGGCGGGGGGGCTGGTCACGTGGGCGGGGGGGGCTGGTCACGTGGGCGGGGGGGCTGGTCAGAATGTGTCTCACATAATACAAAATTATAATTCGTGTTGTAGAGAATGTATCTCCTCTACGTGTAACTTTTGAGTGGTTTGCCTTGTAACAGATGAATGATCCGCGTGTGCTCCCTATTTCAAAGACAATGAGTTGCTCCAGAGAGAGATGCTTCCTGAAAACACAAAAATACCCTTTGACCTGTATCACAAGAACAATGAGTCTCACCTGAGTTATCTGTACAGGTTACTTGCAAAACACACACTGTGTCCTAACATGACTTATTCAATGTTTGACCCTTATAGACAAAAGGTTACATATACGCACACCATCAGACAAGTATTCATTCTAAATTAGTGACAGGCATATTAACAAAATTGAATGACTGCACTGAAATACACTGCATTAGGTTACATCGCATTAACAAGAAGCTAATTTTAAAAAAAACGCACCGTCTGTTTTACTGGTGCACAATCATACGAGTCAGGTGTGTGTCCTAACCTCCGCCGAACCCCTGAGACTGACTCACCGAACCCCTGGGGTTCGATCGAACCCAGGTTAAGAACCACTGGTCTAAGGCTTACGGATCTCCCGGGTCTCCATTTGACTTTGTATTGTCTCGGAGGAAGTCCACCCACACCTCCACTTCCACAAACTGCTGGGAGTTGCCTCGCTCTGCCTCAGTCAGAATTCTCCTCCTGCTTCACGTTGTCTCCATCGATGTGGAATTGAATCTTCTTCTTCACATTCCACCTTCACCTCTTCATATTTCACCTTGATTTCTTTGAAAGTGTCCAAGCTGGGATTTTCTTCCGGTTCTTGTTTGATGAGGGATGGGCTCATTGAGGCACTTTGACTTTCACAAGCTGATTTCAGACTCCACTCCTTGTGGATCTTCTGATGCTTCTGTGATCTCTGGTGTCTTTGAAGATTTGGTGAAAGTGCAAACGCCTTCCCACACAAACTGCACTTGAAGGGTTTTTCTCCCGTGTGTGTTCTCTTGTGTGTTACAAGATGAGCTGAACGTGCAAACGCCTTCCCACACACACTGCACTTGAAGGGTTTCTCTCCCGTGTGTGTTCTCTGGTGTGCTCCAAGAGTAGATGAACATGCAAACGCCTTCCCACACACACTGCACTTGAAGGGTTTCTCTCCCGTGTGTGTTCTCTGGTGTGCTACAAGAATAGATGACTGTGAAAATGCCTTGCCACACACACTGCACTTGAAGGGTTTCTCTCCCGTGTGTGTTCTCTCGTGTTTTACAAGAGTAGATAAATCTGAAAACGCCTTCCCACACACACTGCACTTGAAGGGTTTCTCTCCTGTGTGAGTTCTCTGGTGCCGTGTCAAATGTGCAGGACCATCCGTGCTGTATGCACACCGGTCGCATTGATGCCTTATTGCACCGAGCTGCGCTGAGTGCCTTTGCTCCATCAGACCAATTCTGCAGAGGCAGCGACAGCTGCAGACAGAAACAAAGAATATCCACACCATCTACACGTCAGTATCGAGGCACAGAGGAATGCATATATACACAGTCACACGTGACTTACACGTCTATAGTTATTCATATATTTATGATATAGTAAAAAAGTGTCCCAAATTCATCACATGGGCTGTTATGGCACACAATGAGAGGGCAAATGGTTATAACTGTGCCTGGAAGCCCTCGTATCTTCAAAATGAACGTTAACCCAAAACTCAGCACACAATTTCAGCTGTCTGGCTTCTAAATAAATGTTTATGAAAGCTAAATTCAGCTGACATAGCAAAGGGTGTTGCAAATAATACTATTTGTGTCATGCACAAATGCATAAATTAATGTTCAATCGCAATTTAGAGGTGTGAAGCCAGGCACAGATGTCCTTGATTGCTGGGATGAGCAGTTCCGACTTCAGCTGCTGCACGTGTGTGCTGTGATCACTTCCTGACTCCATTCTTACAAAGACTTCCAGAGGAAAACTAAAATAAACTACTGTTTTGATATAACCTCTGTGCTCAACAGAGTTAATAGACTTTACTGCAAATACAAACTTGACAATGTCACACACACTCAGAGGTGGAGCCAGGATTTTCAGGTAGGGGGGGAAACCCCTCCAGCAATGAAAAATTACAGGAGTTGTTAGTGAGAAAGGAGTTGTTAGTAAGAAAGGACTTGTCCCTTGCTTTTCATTCGACGCGTGTGATCGTCATCGCGCTCGCTCAACGTGTTGATGCCTTCAGGAGAGAAAAATAGACTTTTGTATTTTGGGGGGGGGGGGGGGGGGGGGGAAATGACCATGATGTATGTGGAATCAACCCGCATCACACCTGAGCTAAGCGCTCTGCAATGCTTACCCCCCTACCACATGGCTCTTCGCGCGCCGTACTTCTACAGCTGTTCACAGCGTGCCGGGAGATTTTAGGTGGCGCTTCGCTCCTGGCCGATTAAGTCATTGGCTTCTCGGAGTTTCAATACAAATCCGTGTGAAGAACGGGTACAACTGCCATCTTAAATATAAAGCAGAACTTACACCTGTTTGTTTGTGTGAAGCAGCAAAAAGTCTCCAACGCTGAGCTCTGGCGAAATGAAATATTCACAGCTTATGCTGCTGGGATTTCTAAGCGAACGCCATGTCATTCCCTTCCCGAGTGGCAAAAATCGACCTGACGTAGCAGTGGGTTCAGGTTGAATTTCCTCGAGTGAAAACATCCGATTTAGGTAAATTGAAGTGTTTCGGCTTCCTTCTTGCAAGCATCAATTTTTTCAGGGTTTTTCAGTGAATTATGAGAGAATATTAAATTAATCCAAGACAAGTATCCAAGTCCCGGGCAAAGCCGGGTAGTGAAGCTAGTTACTAATAAACCCCAATGATCCTATCGAAATTACGGATTTCTATCGGATCGTTGGGGGGGCACGTGCCACCCCACCCCCACTGGCTCCACCACTGTCACACACTGGCATGGTTCACAGGTGGTGGTGTGTCCAGACCCACGCCTGGCCACCTTCACCTGCTCAGTATTAATGCTTCCTCACTCCACCAAGTAATTCATTGAGGATCAACCAACACAGCCGATGCTGCGTGTCTCTCTGTGGTGAGATGTTAACTACCTCTCCTGGCATACAGGAAGTCGTGGGTTCCATCCCGACCCTGACGCCTGCTGTATATTTGTAGTTTACGTGTCTCTCTCTCCCCGTGGTTGCGTGGATTTCCTTCCCGATCCCCGGGTTTCCCCTCCACATGTAGAGAGTGAACACCGCCACGCGTCTAGAATGAACACCGCCACACGTCCAGAGTGGACACCGCCACGCGTCTAGAGTGAACACCACCAGGTGTCTAGAGTGAACACCGCCACACGTCTAGAGTGAACACCGCCACACGTCCAGAGTGAACACCGCCACGCGTCTAGAGTGAACACCGCCACGTGTCTAGAGTGAACACCGCTACGTGTCTAAAGTGTACACCACCACGCGTCTAGAGTGAACACCACCACGTGTCTAGAGTGAACACCGCCACACATCTAGAGTGAACACCACCACGCGTCTAGAGTGAACACCGCCAAGCGTCTAGAGTGAACACCACCACGTGTCTAGAGTGAACACCACCACGCGTCTAGAGTGAACACCACCACGCGTCTAGAGTGAACACCGCCACGTGTCTAGAGTGAACACCGCTACGTGTCTAAAGTGTACACCACCACGCGTCTAGAGTGAACACCACCACGTGTCTAGAGTGAACACCGCCACACATCTAGAGTGAACACCACCACGCGTCTAGAGTGAACACCGCCAAGCGTCTAGAGTGAACACCACCACGTGTCTAGAGTGAACACCACCACGCGTCTAGAGTGAACACCACCACGCGTCTAGAGTGAACACCGCCAAGCGTCTAGAGTGAACACCACCACGCGTCTAGAGTGAACACTGCCACGCGTCCAGAGTGAACACCACCACGCGTCTAGAGTGAACCACCACGTGTCTAGAGTGAACACCGCCAAGCGTCTAGAGTGAACACCACCACGTGTCTAGAGTGAACACCACCACGCGTCTAGAGTGAACACCGCCACGCGTCTAGAGTGAACACCACCACGCGTCTAGAGTGAACACCACCACGCGTCTAGAGTGAACACCGCCAAGCGTCTAGAGTGAACACCACCACGCGTCTAGAGTGAACACCACCACGTGTCTAGAGTGAACACCACCACGCGTCTAGAGTGAACACCACCACGTGTCTAGAGTGAACACCACCACGCGTCTAGAGTGAACACCAGCACGTGTCTAGAGTGAACACCACCACGCGTCTAGAGTGAACACCACCACGCGTCTAGAGTGAACACCGCCAAGCGTCTAGAGTGAACACCACCACGCGTCTAGAGTGAACACTGCCACGCGTTCAGAGTGAACACCACCACGCGTCTAGAGTGAACACCACCACGTGTCTAGAGTGAACACCACCACGCGTCTAGAGTGAATCCCGCCACGTGTCTAGAGTGAACACCACCACGTGTCTAGAGTGAACACCGCCACGTGTCTAGAGTGAACACCACCACGCGTCTAGAGTGAATCCCGCCACGCGTCTAGAGTGAACACCGCCACGCGTCTAGAGTGAACACCACCACGTGTCTAGAGTGAACACCGCCACGTGTCTAGAGTGAACACCGCCACGTGTCTAGAGTGAACACCGCCACGTGTCTAGAGTGAACACCGCCACGCGTCTAGAGTGAACACCGCCACGTGTCCAGAGTGAACACCGCCACGCGTCCAGAGTGAACACCGCCACGTGTCTAGAGTGAACACCGCCACGTGTCTAGAGTGAACACCGCCACGCGTCTAGAGTGAACACCGCCACGTGTCTAGAGTGAACACCGCCACGTGTCCAGAGTGAACACCGCCACGTGTCTAGAGTGAACACCGCCACGCTGTTGACGAGCCTCACCTTGTTGTTGTTGTGGGCAGGTCGCTTCTGAAAACAAGAGCGGTACAGCAGCTCAAGCGGGCTTGGCCTGGTAAAATGAAAAAAAAAACAGTGTTAGTATAGAATATTTAAACAAAGGTACAAAGTGGCGATCTGGGTCAAGACAAATTAAACTTAAGCGAGAGAATTGAAGCGAATGCGACCAGGCGAGGGCAGGAGGCAAGGCCCCGCGTTGTAAAGTTCCAACGTGGACATCGCTTCCATGCTCGCTGCTACTCAATTGACATCCCTATGAGAGAGAGAGCGAGGCTCTACCTCTGTACACAACAACAACCACCACAACCACAACCAACACAACACCCACCACCACCACAAATACCACAACCACCACAACTACCACCACCACAACCACCACCACCACAACTACTACCACCACCACCACAACAACTACTACCACCACCACCACAACTACCACCACAACTACTACCACTACCACAACAACTACCACCACCACAACAACTACCACCACCACAACTACCACCACCACCACAACAACTACCACCACCACCACAACAACCACCACCACAACTACCACCACCACAACAACTACCACCACCACAACAACTACCACCACCACAACTACCACCACAACTACCACCACCACCACCACAACAACCACCACAACAACTACCACCACCACCACAACAACTACCACAACAACTACTACCACTACCACAACAACTACCACCACCACAACAACTACCACCACCACAACAACTACCACCACCACAACAACTACCACCACAACAACCACCACCACCACCACCACAACAACCACCACCACAACAACCACCACCACCACAACTACCACCACAACAACTACTACCACCACAACTACCACCACCACCACAACAACCACCACCACCACCACAACTACCACCACAACTGCAACCACCACAACCACCACCACAACCACCACCACAACCACCACCACAACCACCACCACAACCACCACCACCACTACCGCGATGATAATTTCTCACCTCGGATTGCAGTTCACGGGCGGAGCGGCAACTTCCTGGTCCCTCGTGACGTCACGCGGCAGCAGGTGACATGACGTCACTTGCGGGGTACACCTCCCCCTGGCGTTTGACGCCAATGAGGTCACGCTAAGCGGTGACGTCAGAGAGCTGGGTCAGAGTTCAAGTTTGTTGACAGAAAGGGAGCGGCAGCGTCGAAACGGCCTCAAACGAGTCCCCGGTGCGGTGTGTCAACATCGCCAGCACTGGGGAGACGAAGGCGGCCGGGCGTGGTGCTGGCCACCCACCCCTCGTGTGCCGTGACGACCTCCACCGGTGCTGCTACTCGCTATGAGCAGCACTTTGTAGATGTCGTGGCTTGGCTCTCCAGCACACCGCTGGCGACATTTCACGATGACATTTTCACGTCCATAAAAGGAAAATCGTCATACGAACCGAGGCCGTTTTTTGGCAAAATTGATGCAATTTTTTTTTGCAACGAAAAGTGCATTCCTTGGTTGTGTTTAGCCTGAGTAGCCCATATATTACGTTAAAAAGTGGGGAATTTCATGCATGAAATTTTCGTATATAAAAAAGTTAATCGGCATACTGTGCCGTTTTTAGGCTCAGTAAGCCCAACGTTCACAGCTTTATTTTAGGACGAAAGTTAATTCCTCTATTGTATTTACCCTTAGTATGCCATGTGTTAGATTAAAAGTGGAACATTTCACGATGAAATGTTAACGTCCCAAACAGGAAATCGCCATACGAACCTCTGCCGTTTTTGGCTAAAATTGAACAAATTTTTACAGCTGTATTTTTTAACAAAAGTGCATTCCTCGGTTGTGTTTAGCCTGAGTAGTCTGTATATTACATTAAAAGTGAGAAATTTCACCATGAAATTTGAAGTAAAAACATCAAATCGGCATACTTTACCAATGCCATTTTTGGCCAAAATTTTCTCAATTTTCATAGCTAGATTTTCCAAGAAAAAGTGAATTCCTCCATTTTGTTAAGCATTCGTATGCTCTATATTACTTTAAAAGTGGGAAATTTCACGATTAAATTTTCACGTCCCAAAAATAAAATCGGCATACTTATGCCGATTTTAACTAAAATAAGCAAAATTTTCATAGCTTTCTTTTTCAAAAAAAAGTTCATTCATCAATTGTATTTACCCTTAGTATGCTATTAGATTAAAAGTGGAACATTTTATGATGAAATGTGCACGTCCCAATATAGAATATCGGCATACTAACCTATGCCGTTTTTGGCCAATAATGGACAAATATTTGCAACTTCATTTTTCAACAAAAGTGCAATCCTCGGGTGTGCTTAGCCTTAGTATCCTATAGATTACGATAAAAAGTGGGAAATTTCACGCCGGGTACTTCCCGCGAGTACTCTTATATAAGCACACAACTTCATCTGTGGTGAACCCTGCACTTTCCTTCTTTTTCATGCAGGAGGCGCTGCAAACCTACGCGCCCCCTGCATGAACGACGGAGGAGCAGGGACAGACGTTCAATCGCGTTGGAATCGATCTGCAGACGGCGGTCTTCTGGCACGGCCAGCTCTGTGTCGCCTTATCTCCACCCCGCGATCCCAACCAGGAGAAAGTCCGCATCGAACCGAACCCCGGTAAGGCCATCTACTTAACGACTAGAGAAAATTCACACAAAATGTCGTTTTCAATTAAGTCTTCCAGATGTAAAATGACATAAGCTTTAATGAAGAAATAAAATTATCTAATTAAAAAATAATACAATTCAAAGTTGTTTCATTTTAAAAATTCTAAACGGAGCATCGGGTGCTTGCGTGGATGTGTCGTTCGTGTGAATTTTTTTCGTGACTTTCCTGGCCCAAGGCCGTAAATGGTTGTGAGGGGCACCGCAGGCGGTCAGGCTTGCTTCAACCCCATGGTTGTGAACATCCAGACGTTAATCGGCGAGGACCATTTCTCGTCCTAATTCGACAAAATCTACGTCAACACGTAATACAAAATTATAATTCGTGTTGTTGAGAATGTATCTCCTCTACGTGTAACTTTTGAGTGGTATGCCTTGTAAATGATGAATGATCCGAGTGTGCTCCCTATTTCAAAGACAATGAGTTGCTCCAAAGGCAGACGCTACCTGAAAACACAAAAGTACCCTTTGACCTGTATCACAAGAACTATGAGTCTCACCTGAGTGATCTGTACAGGTTACTTGCAAAACAAACACTTTGTCCTAACATCACTTATTCAATGTTTGACCCTTATAGACCAAATGGTACATGTACGCACACCATCAAACAAGTATTCATTCTAAATTATTGACAGGCATATTAACAAAATTGAATTACTGCACTGAAATATACTGCATTAGGTTACATCCTATTAACAAGAAGCTAATTAAAAAAATACGCACCGTCTGCTTAACAGTGTATGTACAACATACTAATGCACCATTCAAAACGAGTAGGCCATTGCATGCTGGCATCAGGGTCAAAATTGATGAAATTCTAAACATTACCTACAAACTCCACAACTAAGATGCCACATCAACCATCGCCTCCTACTGACAGGCTCTTGTCCACATGCAGGCCGGTGCACGGCCACCACCTTGTGCCACATAGGGGCAGCTGCTACCTGGGGATGCTCTTCGAGTGTTTGAAACGAGATACGATGCAAAACTCCGAGTTGCCGAGGCGATTAAGCAAGCACCATATAAATGCAATTGATAACTCTGTGTATGCTTGGGAGCTTATTGGCATTCGCTCCTGGTTAGAGATCTACCCAACCCACAGGTCCACACAGGCTTGCTGCTCTTACTCTGCAGGTTGAACCTAGGAATTGAGTGTTCAACTTCACATTCTTGTCATTAAGAGCCTGTGACAAAGGTGCATCTATTGCAGCGACATCGTCTCAAGCTAACACATCTACCGGGTCTCAATTTGACTTTGTATTGTCTCGGAGGAAGTCCACCCACACCTCCACTTCCACAAACTGCTGGGAGTTGCCTCGCTCTGCCTCACAGTCAGAATTCTCCTCCTGCTTCACGTTGCCTCCATCGATGTGAAGGTCAGATTTTGGAGTTGACTCTTCATCTTCACATTTTACCTTCACTTCTTCGCTCTTCACCATCACTTCTTCACTCTTCACCATCACTTCTTCATATTTCACCTTGACACTTTTAAAAGCGTCCAAGCTGGGATTTTCTTCCCGTTCTTGTTTGATGAGGGATGAGATCATTGCGGCACTTTGACTTTCACAAGCTGATTTCAGACTCCACTCCTTGTGGATCTTCTGATGCTTGTGTGTTCTCTGGTGTCTTTGAAGAGCAGATGACTGTGCAAACGCCTTCACACACACACTGCACTTGAAGGGGTTCTCTCCCATGTGTGTTCTCTGGTGTACATGAAGAGATGAATCTGAAAATGCCTTCCTGCACGGAGTGCATCTGAAGGATTTCTCTCCCGTGTGTGTTTTCTGGTGTTTTTTTAAAACAGATGACTGTGCAAACACCTTCCCACACACACTGCACTTGAAAGGTTTCTCTCTCGTGTGTGTTCTCTGGTGTGCTACAAGATTAGCTGACTGTGAAAATGCCTTCCTACACACACTGCACTTGAAAGGTTTCTCTCTCGTGTGTGTTCTCTGGTGTGCTACAAGATTAGCTGACTGTGAAAACGCCTTCCCACACACACTGCACTTGAAGGGTTTCTCTCCCGTGTGTGTTCTCTGGTGTGCATGAAGAGCAGATGAATGTGCAAACGCCTTCCCACACACACTGCACTTGAAGGGTTTCTCTCCCGTGTGTGTTCTCTGGTGTGCTACAAGAGAACATGAATGTGAAAACAACTTCCCACACACATTGCACTTGAAGGGTTTCTCTCCTGTGTGTGTTCTCTGGTGTGCTACAAGATTAATTGACTGTGAAAACGCCTTCCCACACACACTGCACTTGAAGGGTTTCTCTCCTGTGTGTGTTCTCTGGTGTGCTACAAGATTAGCTGACTGTGAAAACGCCTTCCCACACACACCGCACTTGAAGGGTTTCTCTCCCGTGTGTGTTCTCTGGTGTGCTACAAGAGTAGATGACTGTGAAAACGCCTTCCCACACACACTGCACTTGAAAGGTTTCTCTCCCGTGTGCATTCTCTGGTGTGCTACAAGAGTAGATGACTCTGCAAACGCCTTCCCACACACACTGCACTTGAAGGGTTTCTCTCCCGTGTGTATTCTCTTGTGTGCTACAAGATGAGATGAAAGTAAAAACGCCTTCCCACACACACTGCACTTGAAGGGTTTCTCTCCCGTGTGTGTTCTCTGGTGTGCTACAAGATGAGATGAATGTGTAAACGCCTTTCCACACACAATGCACCTGAAGGGTCTCTCTACCGTGTGTGGTCTCTGGTGTACATGAAGAGAAGATGAATCTGAAAATGCCTTCCCGCACGGAGTGCATCTGAAGGATTTCTCTCCCGTGTGTGTTTTCTGGTGTTTTTTAAAAACAGATGACTGTGCAAACACCTTCCCACACACACTGCACTTGAAAGGTTTATCTCTCGTGTGTGTTCTCTGGTGTGCTACAAGATTAGCTGACTGTGAAAACGCCTTGCCACACACACTGCACTTGAAGGGTTTCTCTCCCGTGTGAGTTCTCTGGTGCGTTATAAGAGTATATAAATGTGCAAACGCCTTCCCACACACACTGCACTTGAAGGGTTTCTCTCCCGTGTGTGTTCTCTGGTGTGCTACAAGAGTAGATGACTGTGAAAACGCCTTCCCACACACACTGCACTTGAAAGGTTTCTCTCCCGTGTGCATTCTCTGGTGTGCTACAAGAGTAGATGACTCTGCAAACGCCTTCCCACACACACTGCACTTGAAGGGTTTCTCTCCCGTGTGTGTTCTCTGGTGTGCTACAAGATGAGATGAACGTGTAAACGCCTTTCCACACACAATGCACCTGAAGGGTCTCTCTCCCGTGTGTGTTCTCTGGTGTACATGAAGAGTAGATGACTCTGCAAACGCCTTCCCACACACACTGCACTTGAAGGGTTTCTTTCCAGTGTGAGTTCTCTGGTGCTGTGTAAAATGTTCAGGACGATCCGTGCTGTATGCACACAGGTCGCATTGATGCCTTTTTGCACCGAGCCGCGCCGAGTGCCTTTGCTCCATCAGACAAATTCTGCAGAGGAAGCGACAGCTGCAGACAGAAAAAAAGAATATCCCCACCATCTACACATCAGTATCGATGCACAGAGGAATGCATATACAGTCACACGTGACTTACACGTCTATACTTATTCATATATTCATGATATAGTGAAAAAGTGTCCCAAATTCATCACACGGGCTGTTATGGCACACAATGAGAGAGCAAATGGTTATAACTGTGCCTGGAAGCCCTCGTATCTTCAAAATGAATGTTAACCCAAAACTCAGAGCATACAATTTCGGCTGTCTGGCTTCAAAAGGAATATTTATGAAAGCTAAATTCAGCTGACATAGCAAAGGGTGTTGAAAATAATAAATTTTTTGTTCTGCAGAAATGCATAAATTAATGTTCAATCGCAACTTAGAGGTGTGAAGCTAGGCACAGATGTCCTTGAATGCTGGGATGAACAGTTCCGACTTCAGCTGCACCGTGTGCTGTGATAACTTCCTGACTCCATTCTTATAAAGAGTTCCAGATGAAAAAAAATACAACTACTGTTTTGGGAAAACCTCCGTGCTCAATGGAGTTAATAGACGTTACTGCAACTATAAACTTCATACTGTCACACACTCAAGAGGCGGAGCCAGGATTTTCAGGTAGGGGGGGAAACCCCTCCAGCAATGAAAAATGATAGGAGTTGTTATTAAGTATGAAGTTGTTAGTAAGGAGTTGTTAGTAAGAACTTGTCCCTTGCTTTTTATTTGACGCGTGTGATCGGCATCGTGCTCGCTGAAGGTGTTGATGCCTTCAGAGAAGTCGTGTACTGTAGACGCAACTGCGCACAATTCTGCGAGTCGCTTGTAACTGCTTTGCCGTTTCTTATTGCCAATTATGGACACGGACTGTTGTCCTCTCAGAGTCCCTGGCACGTAATAACATGCCACACGGTGGCGGTGGGGGTCGCAAAATGCTGATTTATCTATATATATAAAAAGGAAATTTGTGAATGTCTGTTCGAAAACATGCAACAAACTTGAAATTAGGCATGTGGGTAGCTTCCAGACTGTACACAATGCGAAAAGTATAAAAATAGACTTTTGTATTTTGGGGGGGGTCTGGTGGGGTGCAATAATGCATTTATTTTGCACGCAAGTGAGCGGTGACGTCATATCTGTGATGTCACACCCGCATGCGGAAGCATTACACAGCGTGCTTGCTGACATCACCCCCACCCCCCCCCAAACACTCCGCGTAGGACGTGTTTTAATCCAAGACAAGAATCCAAGTCCCGGGCAAAGCCGGGTAGTGAAGCTAGTTACTAATAAACCCCAATGATCCCATCGAAATTAGGGATTTCGATCGGATCGTTGGGGGGGCACGTGCCACCCCACCCCCACTGGCTCCACCACTGTCACGCACTGGCATGGTTCACAGGTGGTGGTGTGTCCAGACCCACGCCTGGCCACCTTCACCTGCTCAGTATTAATGCTTCCTCACTCCACCAAGTAATTCATTGAGGATCAACCAACACAGCCGAGGCTGCGTGTCTCTCTCTCTCTCTCCCAGTGGTCGCGTTGATTTCCTTCCCGATCCCCGGGTTTCCCCTCCACATGTCTTGAGTGAACACCGCCACGCGTCTAGAGTGAACAACGCCACGCGTCTGGAGTGAACACCGCCACGAGTCTAGAGTGAACACCGCCACGCGTCTAGTGAACACCGCCACGCGTCCAGAGTGAACACCGCCACGCGTCCAGAGTGAACACCGCCACGCGTCTAGAGTGAACACCGCCACGCGTCCAGAGTGAACACCACCACGCGTCTAGAGTGAACACCGCCACGCGTCTATAGTGAACAACGCCACGCGTCTAGAGTGAACACCGCCACGCGTCCAGAGTGAACACCGCCACGCGTCCAGAGTGAACACCGCCACGTGTCCAGAGTGAACACCGCCACGCATCCAGAGTGAACACCGCCACGCGTCTAGAGTGAACACCGCCACGCGTCTAGAGTAAACACCGCCACGCGTCTAGAGTGAACACAGCCACACGCTATTGACAAGCCCCACCTTGTTATTATTGTGGTTGTGGGCAGGTCTTTTCTGAAAACAAGAGCGGTATAGCAGCTCAAGCGGGCGTGGCCTGGTAAAAAATGAAAAAAAAAACTCTGAATATTTAAAACAAAACAAAGTTACAAGGTAGCGAGCCAGGTGAAGAGAAATTAAAACTTAAGCAAGATACTCTTTGGTTCTTTCGGGAAAGTCATGTAGAATAAATAAATAAATAAATTTGACAATAGCATGCGACGTTTCGATTGCAACACAAGCAATCATCATCAGGTACAAATGAAAGAGAAAACAAACCTAGTCAACTTAGAAATTCTATATTTGAAGCTTTCGTGACTGCAAGGATTCAAATTCTTAGGTTTTTTCTGGTAAAGTCACGTCGGTAAAAAATTAAAATTAATAAAAGTAAAATAAAAATAGAATAAAAATCACGACGTTTTGGAGGCAACACAAGCCTCCGTCTTCAGGTGGAACCGTCACAGCACGATTGCTGCATCAAGTAAGATGCAGCAATCATTAAGTAAGAAGCAGCAATCATCAAGTAAGATGCAGCAATCACCAAGTAAGATGCAGCAATCATCAAGTAAGATGCAGCAATCATCAAGTAAGATGCAGCAATCATCAAGTAAGATGCAGCAATCATCAAATAAGAAGCAGCAATCATCAAGTAAGATGCAGCAATCATCAAGTAAGATGCAGCAATCATCAAGTAAGATGCAGCAATCATCAAATAAGATGCAGCAATCATCAAGTAAGATGCAGCAATCATCAAGTAAGATGCAGCAATCATCAAGTAAGATGCAGCAATCATCAAGTAAGATGCAGCAATCATCAAGTAAGATGCAGCAATCATCAAGTAAGATGCAGCAATCATCAAATAAGATGCAGCAATCATCAAATAAGATGCAGCAATCATCAAGTAAGATGCAGCAATCATCAAGTAAGATGCAGCAATCATCAAGTAAGATGCAGCAATCATCAAGTAAGATGCAGCAATCATCAAATAAGATGCAGAAATCATCAAGTAAGATGCAGCAATCGTGCTGTGACGGTTCCACCTGAAGACGGAAGCTTGTGTTGCCTCCAAAACGTCGTGATTTTTATTTTATTTTTATTTTACTTTTATTAATTTGAATTTTTTACCTACGTGACTTTACCAAAAAACCTAAGAATATGAAACTTAGAAATGTAATGCAATACAACAGAGTCGGCTAACATAACAGTCAACACCCCACCTGGTTGATCACGTTCTTCCAAAGATTGCTCAATTTGAGAGAGACACGGAGACACATAGACAGACACATAAGCAGAGAGAGATGACACAAAGACACACAGAGAGAGACACACACATAGACATACAGAGAGAGATGACAGAGAGAGACACACACATAGACACATGACACAGACACACAGAGACACACACATAGACACACATAGACACAGAGACACACACACATAGACACACAGAGAGACAACGCCTCTGTGTCAAAGTCAACATTGGGGGGGACCAAATCTTCCGGGGGGTCTGGGGTCCCCCCCCCCCCCCCCCCCCCAGAAAAATATCTAAATTTGAAAACTAATTTCCTGCCATTTCCTCCCTAAAATATTTGTAAAAGTTCACTAACACATGGGATGGAATTTGTTTTATTTGATACAATGTCTAATAGTGTATTGTATTACATTGCTGTTTTTTCTTTTTTACCTTTTCTTGTTTCATAGTATGTAATGGCAGAGATTAGGGATTCATAAAGTACAACGCAATCATATAAACAGAAATCTATGCATTGTTATATGAAGAAAAGTCCAGATTTTGTGGCAAAGGTTTAGCAAATTGTTGTTTTTATTAACAGAGCATCGCAATAATTATTTACAAATATTTTTACAGCAACATATTGGAGGGGCATATTTGATTATTATAATTATTATAACATATTACACTTATTATGACATTATAATTATTATATATTATTATAACTATTCTAACATATTATAATTATTATAACATATTATAACGTAATCGCCTGGCTGATTACGTTCTTCCACAGGTTGCTCAATTTGAGAGACAAAACACAGACACGGAGACACACAGACAGAGAGAGATGACACAGAGACACACACACACAGAGACACAGAGAGACACACACATAGACACACAGAGAGAGACACACACACAGAGACACAGAGAGACACACACATAGACACACAGAGAGAGACACACACACAGAGACAGAGAGACACACACACAGACACACAAGCAGAGAGAGATAACACAGAGACACAGACATATAATTATTTTATATTATAATTATTAAAATATATTATAATTACGGCTTTGTGTCAATGAGATTTGGAGCTTTAGTGACAGCACAGAGAAAGACACTTAATCAAACAAACTTAATATTTGAAAAAGTAATGCAATGCAACACAGAGAGTCGGTCAACACACAACTAACGCATCGCCTGGCTGATTACGTTCTTCCACAGGTCGCTAAACTATCTTCTTGGTTCTTTCGGTAAAGTCACGTAGAATGGAAATAATAAAATAATAAAAATATAAAAAATAAGACTATTTCATTATTTCCATTCCACGTGATATAAAACTTAATAAAATGTAATGTTTTATTTGCGTTATTTATTTTATTTTATTATTTCTATTCTACGTGATGTAAAACATATTAAAAGGTTATTATGTTTTTTTTTTATTTCATTGGTTTATGTTTATTCTTTTATTATTTCCATTCTACGTGATGACTTTACCGAAAGAACCAAGCAGATGAATCACTGCAGGCACGAAAGAAGCTTTACATCGAAATTGCTCAACTAAGCGAGAGAATTGAAGCGAACGCGACCAGCCGAGGGCAGGAGGCACTAGGCCCCGCGTTGTAAAGTTTCAATCTGCACATCGCTTCCATGCTCGCTGCTACTCAAATAACATCCCTACGAGAGAGAGCGAGGCTCTACCTCGGTAAACAACAACAACACCACAAACCACCACAACAACCACCACCACAACAACAATCACCACAACCGCGATGAGAATTTCTCACCTCGGATTGCAGTTCACGCGCGGAGCGGCAGATTCCTGTTACCTCGTGACGTCACGCGAGAGCAGCAGGCGGTGACATGACGTCACTTGCGTGGTACAAGACACTCCCCTCCCACGACGAATGGGACTTAACTTGAATAAATTATGTTAATGAGACCAGCCCAGACGTGGAGGGACGGGGCGGGGCTGCTGAACCCGTCGCAAAAAAAATGAGGCGCCAGTCACCGGAAGTAGCTTTGCCCAAATAAGGATTGGCACTGGGACAGATATCGGCAGCGGCCGAGCGGAGGTGACGTCACGCTCAAGAGCTTCGCGGTCGGGGGGGTGGGGCGAATACCTTGGTGACATGACGTCACTAGCGAGGCTAAAATTGAACGAATTTTTACAGCTGTATTTTTTAACAAAAAGTGCATTCCTCGGTTGTGTTGAGCAGCCTATATATTACATTAAAAGTGAGAAATTTCACCATGAAATTTGAAGTAAAAACATCAAATCGACATACTTTACCAATGCCGTTCTTGGCCAAAATTTGCTACATTTTCATAGCTAGATTTACAAGAAAAAGTGAATTCCTCCATTTTGTTAAGCATTAGTATGCTCTATATTACTTTAAAAGTGAGAAATTTCACGATTACATTTTCACGCCCCAAAAATAAAATCAGTGATACTTACTTATGCCGGTTTTAACCAAAATAAGCAAAATTTTCATAGCTTTCTTTCTCAACAAAAAGTTCATTCATCAATTGTATTTACCCTTAGTATGCTATGTATTAGATTAAAAGTGGAACATTTTATGATGAAATGTGCACGTCCCAATATAGAATATCGGCATAATAACCTATGCCGTTTTTGGCCAATAATGGACAAATATTTGCAACTTCATTTTTCAACAAGTGCAATCCTCGGGTGTGCTTAGCCTTAGTATCCTATAGATTACGATATAAGGTGGGAAATTTCACACCGGGTACTTCCCGCGAGTACTCTTATATAAGCACACAACTTCATCTGTGGTGAA